GGCACCACAATAGCCCGAGTTTACGAATCACGTGCCGCTGCTGCCGGGGAAAGGCGCTCGGCGCGCGAAGCGCGCCGAGCGCCTTTCCCCGGCAGCAGCGGCGGACAACCTCGAACACTAAGCTTTACTAGAATTCTTTTAAAAGATTTTTTAAAAAAAAAAAGGAGCATGTAGGATTCGAACCCAAGCTCTTGTAAAACTTGGATTATTTTAGGTATATAATGTGTGGCTACGTGATTGGTAACCGTAGCTAGCTACATGTAAGCTATGGCAAAAAAAAAAGATACGTATTTCGAGAAAAAGATGAAAGTGGGGATCTGGAAGAGCACGTGAAAATTCGAGGATGCACCCAATAAAAACGCTCTAGAGCTGCGCACGGACGAACTTCCTATTTCGAAAAATGGCCAGGCAAAAAGATCGTCTGACAATATCCCTCGTAAACTCGGGCAATATCCCTCGTAAACTCGGGCAATAAGAATATGTTTTAGATAGAGCTATCTGGGTACCCCCCTATATTACTAAGGTACACATATAGGTCGAGACTATGGAGAAGCCATAGTACCTACATGTAGTGTAAATCTTTGAGGCTAGTAGATAGAAGGTATACTAGTAGATATAGCATGATTATAACTGTTAATAAGATCTATATCCCACACATGATGAGTCCTCGTGAAAAATTAAAACTACATTAGCCTCCTCTCCTCCCCTGGAATCAAGTACTTAACACTATGCCGTTGCACTCCTCATCGATTCTAGAACGCCCCTAACATTAGCAAACTCTAACTCTTTCATCGTTTCATTAAACAATTGGTCTGCGGCATCCTTTCCTTGGGGAGTATACAGAAAGGAGTTGAACCTAGAGTATAACCAAGTCAGTGCCTATGTAAGTAAGAAAGGGGCTTGTAATTATAGACACTCACGGTGAAACCTTCCAACTCACGAGGAACGAACAGTGCGACTCCTTCCCCTTGACCAAAGCCGCATCCAAGTACGTCGAGGCGCCGTCCTTCACTGTCCGCGCTGTTAAAGCGGAAAATAGGGCCACCGCGGGCCTTATAAAGATACTAGCGTCCCGGCTAAGCTCGGTACCCTTAACGTAACCCGGGCACACCAGGTTGACGATTACATCGTCCGCAGATACGTACTCGCTCAGTTTATAGGCGAACATCTGAGACAAGACCTTAGACATATTGTAATTCTTGTCGGTATTCGGAGCGAAAAACTTAGGGTCATCTAGAGTCGCTATGATGGACTTGTGGCCGTCGGCTTTCGGTAGGGGTGCGGTGAGCGCCAGGGCCGCATTGACAATTGTAAGCCGGCCGGGGGTTCCGGGTGGAGACTTCTTTTTGAGGATAGGGAGTAGTAGGATGGCAAGGAATATCGTCGATAGGTAGTTCACCTGGAGAATTTGCTCGTGACCAGTGCTGGGCTCCGTGGTATATTTTAACTTAATTATACCTGCATTGAGAATGGCAATATCTAGTCGAGGCAGCGTACTGTTGATGCGCTGAGCAAACTCCTGTATGGAACTGTACTTGCTCATATCCACGATCATAACTTCAATCTTTGCTTTCGAGTACAATGTTCGAAGTTTAGAGGCTGCTGCGTCTCCCTTTGCTTGACTTCGGACAGCAATGATTAGATGAGATAGACGGAGAGCGAGCATTTGCTTAGAAGCTTCATATCCTAGGCCGGTATTAGCTCCAGTAATGAGGGCGACTTTTCCGGTAAGGTCGGTAGTGCTCGGCGGATGTTGGGGCTTGGTCCGGAACTGGTTCTTCATAAAGATACTACCAAATCCGACGTCCAGTGGTGGTAAGTCTTTTGAGGTAGCCATTGCGTTTTTGATATAATCTAAGTTGTAACTCCAGATCGATGCCGATATAGCTGCACTATGTAATCTTATACCTTGGCAGGTAGCTTAAGAATTCTGATATGTTGGCGAGTCCACATGAATAGAAATGTTGTGAAGGGTTTAACATCTTATATATGATACGGAACGCCATGGCGTTAACTAATTACGTCTTGTTCTCTCCCGTCCACGTAATGAGCTTGATGAAATTTTATCTTGACAACAATGAGTCGGCATCTTGAACGGAGACTTTCTAAAGACAAGCTCCCGGCAATGCTGGAAGATGCAGGGATGAGGAATATCTGCATAATGTTCATCCAATAGGAGCCTGCTTCTATTTCGAATCCAGCATCCGCCGCTACGGCAAATCGAATCTATACCCAAATCGGCAAACAATCTCGAAGACGCTTAAGCGGATGAGGTTTAGCATAATGAGCACCGTTATATGGCCATCGCATGTCCGTCTATACTTGACGAATCTCAGAGACCCTGGATTATAAACTCATTTAATTAGGCACGCTTTAAATATCCAGCTATGCCAACATTCTCTCATTCATCGACCATTTTCCCATCTAGGAAGTCAATCTTGTCTATTTCTCCCCGACGGTATACCCGTCTAGGCATATAATCTGAAGGCTGAAATACAATCCCTACAGAGAACCAATCTCGATCGTGGCATACGATAGCGAGTGGCAGCCTGCCTGCTCCTCATGATCTGTCTTGGAAGTTACTAACACCGGCTGTACCTGTTGGCTATCTCTCTACGAACGGAGTTAATTTCAGAGAGCCTAGGTACTAATCTTGACTGTCTATCTCCGCGTAGATCCCTCGTCGGTCAGGTACCGACGATATGGCGCCACCCCCCAAGAGTTCAGGTAAGGAACACCTCATCATCTATACCTATCCGAGAACCAAATCTCACATATGTACCCAACTGGGCAGGGAGTATGCCCTTCATAGTATCTACAGGCACCAAAAAGCCTAATCCCGAAATGCGGAAGTTCATCCGGAGCCATGTGATGATGGGTAAGAACCGCGGAAAGATTTTACGTCCGAAGTATAACAAAGCGGGAGAATCAAACATCCCGGAAGGTTTGCATAATTCTAGACCAAGATCAAGTTTAGAGGAGGGGGGATATGATGATAACGCGCCAATCACATTGACCCCCGTCGTCGTCCCTAGAAGGGTTGGTGGCGATTTATCTTTCATCCGGTTCGGTGACACGATAGAGGACTCCGGCGTCGCCGTTATCTTTGAGTGTAAGTATAACTTTAACATCGCCGAGTACCCCCCCATACCTCCAAAACGCCCTTTACCTAGTCCTCTTTATACTTATTCCACATTCCTATACGGTTCCATGTAGTCTCTAGTATTGCGAAGAAACTACTATTCCCCTTAGAATCATGCATCTTTTTCGACGTGAGGGAAAAATCAGGGTGGATGGAGGCCCTCACTGTCGACGCCGCATATCTCCACGCTCTAGCTTTCTCGACACAAGCCTACTTTGACCTAATGTCAGGCCGTACGCCAAACAAGAGGCCTACCTCGGCGTATTCACACATACTCAAGACACTGCGACTCCTACGCGAGAGGTTAGATCTTCCAGAGCATGATGTAGCAGTTAAATCATCATTCAGTACAGCCACAGTAGTACTATGTCTCGCTTTCCACGCTCACATCATGGGCGAGCACGAAACAGCCGGACACCATGTGTTAGGGCTTCGCAAGATAGTCGACTTGAACGGGGGGCTAAAGGGTCTGAAAAACGAGAAGCTTGTTATTGAACTGCTAAGGTAAGATTGACATCATATCCCTCTACTTACCCCTTTTAACAGTCCATATAGGTGCGACATGGGAATGGCCTTACATAGCGGCACCAAACCCGTATTCTTCTCCGATCTGGTGCGGGAGCCGTACTGGCCATACCCGGACTTCGTGTTATACGGCATCACCGCCGATCCCGAAGACGAGCCGCTTCTCGCCACCCTCGACACAGAGCTGGCCACCGCGTGGCGCACGATGAAGCAGTTTTGCACTCTTGTCAACCGCGCCGCCGCCGCTGGCCGAAAACTACCCAAAGAAGACCTCCTCGATGCCATGGCCTCGGTCATGTACCGGCTACTACACATGTGTTTTGCGCGTGGCTCTCCCTCCGAGGTTGTGCGCTTAGGCCTGCTGGCATTTTGCTCCAGCGTATTCCTGCAGTGGGCCAGCGTGCGGCTACCGTACACGCATTTTCCAACCATGTATCGAGATAATTTTGTGAACCTCGAGTTCCCCGCCCCGGATAACGACTATAGTGGCACAAATAACTTCCCCACTCCACAGCTACTTCTCTGGCTGCTGACTGTTGGCGCCGTTTCCCTGTTTGGCGGGGTCGATAATGAGGCCTGGTTGAAGCCCTGGCTGCGTGTCAATCTCGAGCTATGTGGCATAGACTCGTGGCCTGCCATGTGCGCTGTGCTGGATTCGTTCATGTGGGTGGGGGTTGTGCAAGATGCGTCCGGAAAGGCCGTCTTCGATTCAACTATGTCTTCAAGTTCATGTCTGGAATTCGATTGACCACTGGCTTCGAGATTGCCGTGCTTTTCTTTTGTATTAACTCACTCGAATTAGCGTTGTGTTTTGGGGATTGCTTCATAAGTTCTTCCTAGTGTTGTATAAACTTGAACATCGGGTAGTCTTTTATTAGTCGAGCGGTCTCGGATCATATATTTCAAAATACCTTTACCAAGAAATATAATGATAATATAGATGTTCTCATTTAATCAGTTGCTTTTAGCCTGCCATAACCCATATATGCAGACCTATAACCCAAACACCCGTGACACCCTTGCTGAGCAATGTAAAATGATTAAAGCAGTAGTTATACCGAACCGCTTTGATGTAGGACGTTTATCATGCCAAGTGCGAAATCTTCTTATCATACAAATTTTAAATCTGAAGAGCTGACCGGGTATTTTCTCTTCCATAGTTGATCGTGTAGAACTCCTCCATTCCAACCCTTCCATCACAGGTAAGGATATTCACACAGTAATCTCTCTCTGGGCAATCGACTCATCTTTTATTACGAGTAATTATGTCATCGCTCATATCTCGGTAATGGTTCTGATCCCGCGGTTCGCCCTGAAGGTCCGGCGATGTCATGATAAGCATCCAGACTTCCATAGTCGTGGTCATCACGAATAACTGGAGCCGTGGGTTCTACACTCCCTGATGTACCGAGTGTTGGTGCAGATGGCTCCTCACCCTCGTAATCTTCCGGGACCTCTGGAGGCGCACTAGCTTCCTGGAGAAGACGCCGACGCTCAAGCTCCTGTTTGTCATCAACATTAGACGAAGATGGAGGACCTGTCGGTGTTAGATCTGTCAGTATAGGTGCAGATGGTTCTCCGACACCCCCTTCCGGCTCCGGTAGTGAAGTGTGGCTACTTGAATTATGATTACCATTAGTCGGATGAGCGAATTCGTCGATCGGCGCGGATGCCTGCGATGGGCCAGCTTCTGATTCTTCAAGTTGCAGTGGCGGTTGGCTAGGTAACAACCTCTGCTCTGCTTGGCGAATGCGCTCTTTGTCCGACAGCTCGTTTTGCCTGGGTACATCTGGTGGTGGGACATAGACTGGAGCATGTGATTCCCGGTCTTGGAAGTCATAATAGGATGTTTGAGGGGACGCCCCTGGCGGAAAATAATTTTGGGGCGACGGTTCGAGTTGCCCGGACGCGAAGTCTCCGTTATAGTTATTTCCACCGTCAAATTCATTTTGCCATGTATAGTTCTGCTCATCGTTCTCGCCGTGGATGTCTTCTGAAGGAGGCGGTTGAATTGTGAGCGACGGGCGCATAACAGATTTGCCTCGCGAGCGGGTGGAGTCCATAGTCCCTACCACAACCTCAAAGGACACGGATATAACACCCTTTTCACGTCTTAAGTGATCTGTGTCGACTATTGTGCCATTCCAGTTGGCAAGCCGCTTCAGATCATATGCCCCGACCGCTGAGGCAGGATTACCACCCGGAACCCCTAAAGACCCAATCCTATTTGCTTGCTGCGAGCTTCCAGTGGACTGGCCCGCGAGTTTCCCGCCTAGATCGAGAACTACCTCAACGTGATATCTAAAACTAATTAAGCCCCCCGGAACATTTTTAATGCTCGGAAATACATCTTCTGGTATTCTGATAGATGTCGTGATGTTTGCTGTAAGCGTGACGGGATCGATTATAAGCGGTGCAACCGCTTGAGATAGGTCTTTTCGAAAAACGCTACAAGAACCAGCAGAGGACAACGATAGCCCCCCAAGTCCAGTCCTTGATCTCGGATAATAATCTTCGTGCTTTAGTCGCTTGGCATCTTCTTTAGAGAGATCCGCCGTGAATAAAGAGAGCGGTGGTGAATAATCTACGCGACCTTGGCGATACAACGTGACGATAATGCCATGCATACTCTTCATGCGGCGGTTATGCTCAATCTTGATCTTAACAGGTAATATATCTCCGGGAAGACATCCTCCTTTCAATAATTCAACGGTCGCGGTTATCTCTCTCTCATCACTCCCCGACAGCCTACTTGCAGCCACAGATTCGGCACTGGCATCGGCACCCCTGGCACTATTAGAGCCGCTGTTGTTGCTAACAGCACTATCGCCACTAATTTCACTCTGTAGATCATGGGGGATTAAGTCGCTCCGTAATGGGCTGCGCGGTAAATGGTTTCCGGGCGGCCCGACTGACGTTGTCACTTCTCCTAGACTGACGGAACTCCCGTTGGAATTTTCATTTACCCTTGTAGAGTCGAGATCCGACGCCGGTTCCCGCCCTTCTATAGATACCGAGCCGCGATTGGCAGTTGACGCGACCGCCGGCACTGGTCTCTTTTTCCTTTTCGGCCGTCTCCGTAAAGTCTGCATACATACCCTCCGCTCTCGTGGAGGGGCAAGTACACCTATATCAACCTTTTCTATGAGCGCTACTTTCGTCTCGCAACTAGAAGTTGCAGCTATTGAAGTCGGCCGTGTTAATGTGGCCGTGACCATATAGGATATCGTCCCTCTCTCGAACTATAGCAGTTTGTATTAGCGTTATTTGCTAGTAGCAAAGGCATCATCAAGGCAAGGCAGGTCGTACATCAATACTACTCGGTAGCCCTTTGGCAGGAAATATGAGGTCGAATTCAAATTCGAATCTTGTAGGCTTGAGCCTCCCCTCACCACACAAGACCTGCTCATCCTGAAAGAGAGAAGCCAGCCCATTCCCGCAATACCTAACACTTCGGCTCCTTTCGTGGGAAATCACAGCGGGGTTGACGGGACTAAGCTGCGCGCCAGCACCAGCATGTTTGTAGACGCGAACATATCCGTGTAGGGCGACAGTCAAATGTGTTATGCGAATAGGCTTAACGACAGAAAGGACAACGTGACCCTTGACGTGATCGCCAGCAGAGTATTGGCGATGAGGCTCTTGGAGGCGAATGTGGAAATCGGCGAGATTACGTGTCCGGGAACGAAGCGGCGACGTCAGACGAGAGAATAAGGAGGGCCTAGATGGCGGGTCTTCGACCGGCAAGTTCTGACCTTTGTCGGCGTCTGAACCCATCTATTCAACTAAACTCAATTGACAACACCGTGCGTGTCTTGCATGACACCACACGGATACCGTCGTCAACTACCCTATGGTCCGTTTCGAGGCCGAGATAAGAAACAAAAGTCGCTCGGGCAACGGACGAGATGGGCCTTCGCGTGTTTCACGATCGGGAGGTCGCGGTAGTTACGGTCGAGGACTAGGACAAAGGGGGACACGGCCAGGCAGCCAAGGCGACGGCGGTAATGTTGAGGACCCCTAGAGGAGTCCTATGGCTAGGGCGCCGAATGGACACGCGAAAGGTAGAAAAAGTTCGAGATGCGCTTGGTTGGGATTGGTTTTCGGGAGAAAGTTCACCAAGATCTTAGGTGTTGCATGTGCCAAGCTGTGGGAGAGGCTTGGTAAGAAAAGGGACTTGGGTTTGGGAACGGCTGCCAAGAGATGACCTCCAGCTTTTATTTTTATTATTAGGTTGCGTAGGCAGGTAAGCACTAGGTTAGGTACCTACCTAAGGAAGGTAGGGTACTAAGAGGTAGGTAACGTCGGAGGGGTATTATAGCGTATTATAGCGTATTGTAGGTTGTACAAGTGTTAGGTACCTAACGTAAGACGTAAGAAGCTTACCCCGGGTCTAATAACGGACGATTGCTTTGCTATCCATAAAGCCCGACCCCGGAAGAAATCCCGTTTCGCCAGAAAAAACTTCAACGTTTGACGTTAAATAGACAGGTGCCTAAGCGAAATTGATATTAGATAAGCTTGTAAGACCTCGAAATTCAATTACACTAGTGTAGCATATCGGCAAGAGTTTCTTCTATCACAAACTGACGGATGGTTGCAGATATACAGAAAAGCCCAACTAAAAGATTCAATAGGTCGAGAACATTGAAATTTCACAAGCAGAACTATGGGTAGACTACTGGGTATAAGCCACCCGTCTTAGTAACCAGCCACCTATCGAATTATGGATGGATTAGGTATTAACTATATGGATTCAAACTCAACATCTATGTAATCGTTGGGGACGTTTGACCTAGTGCACGTAGTGTTTCCCACATATATGCACCGTGTCCGGAATGGACCCTTAGTTTCTAATGAAAAAGCAAGTTGGTTTATAATTGGGTAACATCGGATGAGCGTCAGAACTCCGGCTATGAGATATTTCTCTCACTAATATCTTACTAGACGATGACGGCAATAGTAATAGGCCACAGTTCGTAGCGCATTACGATGCGCGAGCTACTTAACCGAGGGGCCACAAACTTAGTAGCGTCAAGGTGAGTCCATTTCCCCCCCTCCGTTAGCCACCTATCGGGATTGTGAACATTCGTACAAAAGGTCTCACAGTACACCATTTAGCTCACGAGACTTTCTTCGGTGGCATGGAAGACAGCAGCTGGATATGGTAAGCCGCCACGCCACGTAAGGATCCAAAGGCGCAGCATTTTGCGGTCTTCGGCCTAGGTACTCGGTCGGCAAGGTTATCCTTATTCCCACGGCAGCTGACCACCGGAGTTTGGAGTTTTTCAAGCATGTCGTGTGCGGTTTGCCTAATAGGTATGTATATGTAAGCCTCCTTTAAGCAGCCATCATCTCCGTTTTCCCGCGTCACCGCAAACAAGTCGAATCTGGTCACAAAAAGTTCAAGCGCTAATAGTACTCCACTATAAGGTTAGAAATCTAATCAAAAGGTTAAGCCATATGTACTTCAAGTCCCAATTCTATCACTTCGGTGTATTTAGAAGCAAACACCACAAAGGTTCTATGTTTAAGAATATGCAGACAATCGCATGGTTTTGGGGATTTAGCTTTGCATGGCTTTAGCTTTTCACGGTTTTTAGCTTCGAAAAGCACAATCAAACCGAACTAACGAGGTCAGACAAGCTTTTGTCCAAGTAGGGCTTAGCTCATCGGCACCTAGCCGAAAATAGTCTGTGCATTACTAGGGGCAGTTATGTACATAGGGGAATGCTTGTTCGTGTGGGGAAGTCACATGATCTTTAAGTCCGAACCAAGACCTAACAACTTCTACCTGGAACATGCTGTTTATTAACCTAGAGGCGTATTTGCGAGCAAGGAACTGGAATTTTTCTCTGCTTCCCATATATACTAAATGTTATGATTACGACTTAGAAACTTTAGATACTTTGAAGAATACTAGTAATCTAAGCAGACCTGAGGCTTTTCGTAATTAAGGGGTCAGTTCTTCAGTCGGCCCTGATCACTATTCTGTTTCTTGGGTCGCTTAAAGCTATACATCGATTTTGTAAATTCTACCTATTATGTGTTTTCTTTTCATCAATCAAACCGAACCCACTTAAATGTGAGGTCTTAGTTGACCGGTCAAGAACAAAAAACCAGGAAGAGGAAATCTATCCGTCGCATTCGGGGCCAGCAGTATGGTTACCGGAGACTTCATGGACATTATACATAGCACGTAGAACAAAAGCCCGTTGACCCTACATAGGTAGGTACCTATGACCTAGCACTGTTTCTTAATATACGTAACATGGAAATGTTTCAAAAAGAAATTATATCATAACATTTAAACCTATTAACGAAAAGTAGCTTCATGATGTTATTCGTAGTTTTACCAGCTTCTTAACCCCTTTTATTTCGAAAAAGCAATAGAAATACAACCTCAAATCTTCTTATACTTGCGATCTTTCTAAAAGAAAATATTTCGAACCATCCAAATTCAACACAACTACTATTTAATTACTATTTAGAGGTCAAATTCCTTTTAGATTTCGCCGGTCTTAAAAGACCTGCCTGATTTTCCACACCGGCGCCTACGTCATTATCTTGCCACCCTATTCTATCGGCGCGAATGATGGGGACCCCGCATCGCGATCGTATATAGATCCATCCACCCATCCTATGTGTGACTCTCGAGGGTGTTATAATGGTTACCCACGTGCTTCATGTAGCATCAGCCACGATAGACATAAGTTCATCGACGATGCGCAACAGTTTAATTGGTCTCCAATCTCCGAACCCAAGCTATCGCGGTCACCGAGGGCGCGGGGAATAATATGAAGACGGCTTCTGTCACCCTGTCCCTCGGGGTGAAATGTTACTGTTAGTACTCTGTATGGGAGTCTAGACCTTAGACAGCCTGTGCTTACGGAATGAAGTCGTTTATTGAATACTCAAGTCTAGCCCCTGCTCCAATTCCTTGTTGCTATCTGGAATATATTTGGTTTACTTACAGCTTAGATTCACTCAGGAGTTGGGAACTCTTTTATTGCGTTGTGCTACCTAGAAATGTAGTGTTACGTAGGCAGATAGACTACTTGCCTATGTACGTAGATCCCGAGGTATAGAGGAGTGAGCATGTATGCTCTTTATACTCCAAACCCGATACGATAAACCAAAGCTATCCGGGGACTCATTCGTCATAATGATTGGTTGGGTAGCACTCCGCGAAGCCCGGTTGCAGATGAATCAGCCATGATTATCAGTTCTCCAACGCTTAGACAAGGAATGCTAGTTCATGAGCGGCGTATGGACGTCTATATAACAATTGCTATGTTATGCCATTCCCAGATTTGAATAATCTCCAACAGCCAGATAACAGTATCTCCGTTCTTATATTCAATTTGTTATTATCTCTTGAACCATAGCCCACACGGTTTGAGGTCTATAGCAACATGGACATTACCGGAAATGCATTTGTTACTGGAGGAGGTAAGCATAATATCATAGTCTATAACTATCAATGGCTTACATTCTTTAGGAAGCGGAATTGGGAAGGCCTGTTCTATAGCTTTGGCAAAGGAGGGGGCTAAGGGCATCCTTGTGGCAGATATTAACCTAAAGGCTGCCGAAGAAACCATTGCGGAAGCTACTGCTGTTGCTACTAATCCTGATTTCCGTGCTGAGGCAATTCACCTTGATGTCACGAGCGAAGAATCGGTCAAACAAACCGTTGCCAAAATGATCGAGTCTTTTGGACGCATTGACTACTGCATACACTGCGCAGGAGTAAGTTTAGACATCGAGATCTCTTTACTAAATACCAATCGTTGGTAAATATCAGGAATACGCGTCTGATGCTGACTTTTAAGACCGGATTATCGTCATATCGACCAGTTGACGAAGCTAGCTTAGACGAGTTGAAGAGATCCCTCGCCGTCCATGTCCACGGGACCTTCCTTATAACTAGTCTAATCTCGGCGGCCATGAAATCGCAAGAACTGGTGACGGTCGACTCTGCTCATCCAGAGCGAGGTGGAACTCGTGGTTCAATTGTCGTCCTAGGTTCATCAGCTTCTATATTCGCAATACCTCACTTGGTGCCATATACTGCGTCGAAGCATGCTGTGCTGGCAATTGCCAAGACGGCTGGTAAGCGCCACGACAGAACTACCCCCTTTATTTGCCCTACTTTCTAACATATTTTTACAGCCATGGAAAGCGGTGTTCATAATATCCGGGTGAACTGTATCTGTCCTAATTGGACTGATACGCCTATGCTACGGCACACACTGGAGATATCCGAGGAGATGACTGTTGAATCGCTCTTGGCTACTATACCGATTAAACGGCTTTGCACGGCTCATGATGTTGCCGATGCTGCACTTTTCTTGTGCAGCCCGAGGTCATGTTATATAACAGGAGTTGCCTACCCCGTTGATGGTGGTATGGCGCTCACCATGAAGACTTGATTATTACTGTCTAGGGCTAGTTATCTACCCATCAGGCTTAAAGCAAAACATGTAAGGTACTTACAAGGTAGTAACGAAGTAGACTGACCTTCCCCCTACTATATGTCGTTTTCCTATTCCACCTCGATCTACTTGAGGGCAAATGATATCTATCGTATAGGTTAGAGGCTAGAGTACGAAGAAGATTGTGGAGTACTCTCCCATAACTTAAGATGATCTTAGCCGATGATAAGATCCATAAAATAGCTACGACTCTTGCCTACTTTACGGCTGATGCCTATTTGTGGTGCATTAATAAAAATAGTACCAGTGGCTTACGGGGTTTAGTCGGTGGACCAGGTGGTAGTAGAATCATCGGTTGGGCTTTGATGAAAGCAAAACGCCATGCACATACTATTATTAAGTGAGACAGCACACGTAAGTGTTACCCAGATCATATGATAGCATGGCTATTTCGGTCTTGATTCGTAGAACTCTTAGTATGACTCCGTACGGGTCTTGGGAATGGCCTAGCCGTATCACGGAGAATTAGTAGTTCAACATGTTGATTCCATATGATAGCAACAGCCAGGAGAGAAACTGGAGCGTAACCTGTTAGGTAAACGAGAGAAAATAAAAGTGACCGGTGGCAGACAAAAAGGGGCTCGATAACAAGTACTTAGGAGGTGGGGAAGAAAATTTAGGAATAATTATACGAAGGTAGCAAAAGTCTCTGGTTAAAATTTATACATTACTATCTAACGTATCCTCATCTGAGGATGATATCTGGGTATGCGGTGTAACGCCCTCGTGAATGCCCGTAATGCAACGCCGTGTCTATGCAAGATCGTATCCCTTTAAAATCTAATCCAATGCCTCGCCGCTGAGAATGCTCTTTAGGATATCAACGCCGAGTCCCTCCACGGCTTGTTCCAATTCTTTCTCCCCAACGCAGCTTGCAACCTTCTTTTCGTCCGCCAATCCGATGCCGGACCCAAATCCACTCTTCTTTCCCCTTTTGCTTGGTGTATGAAGCATGGCAAGGGAACCCGTCTTCCCATCCACGGCGGAGACTAAAGATAATGTCTCGAGACTGCCGATGACTTCTCGAAATTCTGAGCTAGACAATGGATGTAGCAGAGACTCCCGGGTACATAGTATGCTGTATGTCTCGTATAGTCGCTTGATGCTTGGAGCGATGCTTTGTGACTTGGACGGCGTGGTCGGAACTAGCGACGTTCGGGATGCTCTATTTCGCTTTTCTAGCGCCATGAGTGAGCATAATGCCGCCTTCTGTTGCAAGTTCAAGGTCTTCAATCGCTGGTTTGTTCCATTGCTGAACGCGGCCGCCGTAACCTTGTTCAGATGTGCTATGCTTACGCGAGGTGCTGTTTCTACTGTCAAGCCTCTCAATGACTCTGCTAGCATTGCCGATGGGCCTTTCTCCGACGATCGTTTAGGCGACGAGGAGAGGTTCGTGTTCTCCCCGAGAGGTTTCTTGGACGGTGTAGCGAGAAGAATCTTTTCTTTGACCTCTGCCTCGTGTTTCTGCTTTGTCTCAGCCTCCACGAGGTCAAGAGCTCTTCGACAGATCTCGAAGGCTTTTCGCAAGTCACCTGTCTGACTTGACACTTTGCGGGAGCAGAGTTCAATGGCAGCTGGGTGAATGAATGGTAGCGGGCTACCCTCAGGCACAAGGCTCTTGAGACGGGTAGTAATTATCGATTTGATCTGTGCTGCCGAATATGGTAGGAATGGGAGGAGTTCGGGCTTCAGGTTTCGAGATTTCAAGCGTGGAAGAAATCGGTCTGTTAGGTCTAGCGCATTTGCAATGCCGATCAACACGAGACGTGACGACTTTTGCATGGACCATTCGAATAGTCGGTACAAACTTTCCAAGTCCAAAGTGAGAATGTGATCGATTTCATCTAAAACAACCAAGTAGACACTGGTTGCTTTCTTTCGCGGTATGAAGAGCTTCTCAACCGTCGTGGCGGCGTCGCCTTCGGAAATTTCCGTCTCGTCGCAAATTTGGTCTATGAGAGTTCCATAAAGATCCTTAGATGATTTTATGCTCATGCAATTGATGTAGGCCTTCTTTACAGTTGTTGTTTCAACCAGCTCTTGCGTGACCTCATTTATCATAGCACTTTTCCCTGTTCCTGGTGGCCCACTGACATATATACATCCACTGGGGTTGGGCTTCGAGCATCGTTGTAGAAATTCTTTTAGCTGTGAACGCTCATCGTCACGTCCAATCAATTGACCGGGATCGGCGCTTCGCGAAAAAAGTTGGCGTGCGTGATGGTATACAGTTTGAAGGGCAGCAGGTGTGAGTGGTGTTTGTGGGAAAAGGCGTTTAGAGACCCTTCCGGTCGGCGTAACCCGATGACGGGGGGTAACGGGGACTTTGGAAAGGGCATCTCGGAAACGAGGTGTGCTGGGCGTACGTGGCGTGAGTGGTGCGCATTCGCCTGCGAGCTCAATCAGACAATGCCTCTTTGTTAATTGTTAATTACAATGTGAAATGTTCTTACCCTCTCCACTTTCCTCTGCATTACGGATACGTTTGGAAGGTGACTTGTCTGTGACCTTTAAGACGCCAATTTGGCTGTCGAGATTGTCATCGGTAGTAATTTCTTCGGGGTCTACATTCTCGTCATTGGGTGAGGAAGTGCGTGTCTGGCGTCGTGTTCGTTTTGTAGGTACATCTACAACTTCTAGACTCGGTGTCAGTTGCTTCAATTGGGGGTTAGTCGAATGATATTGCTCTTACCAATCTCTTTTGTACTCCTAGTCCTCTTTCCGAGAGTTGATCGCGCCATCTTGATTGTGTAGTTTCGCTCAATGCACCTGAAGTAGGAAATCTGATGTGAAGTGCAAAATATGAAGTTGCCTATGATGTGGAGAATTTAGTTTGCAGGAGAGACGGGAAGAGAAGAAAACTACGGATTAGCTCTAGGATGAAATTGGCAAGGGGGACGACGCGCGGGTCCGCAGAACGCGAGAAGGTCGCGTAAAGTGGTTTGAACGCGCAGGCCGTACTTCCCCTGTTTCCTTAAAAGGTCCCAGCTTTTAACCCCTGGCTAGAGGCTTGGCACAGCGCGAACATAACGCGCCAATTCTCCCCACTCTTCCAGCTTATCAAATCCACTAATAACCCCACTTTAGCGCTAGTGAAGCTAGTGAAGCTTGGGCCATCCAAGCTACTGGAACAAGGCGAACTCCGGACTTGTACGAAGGTCCGGGCCAAAAGTCTTGCACATCTGGTCTTGGCAAGCCATGTGTAAGTAAAAAAAGGACCGCACGGTATTACTTTAGCTATAGTGGCTGATATCGCTATAAATATAGTGGTAAGCCACCTAAATTTAGCGTATGGGCCACTATCCAAATTTCAGCTTAGCAGGTAGCTGATACAGTGTTAATAGAAAAGGATGACGTTCGAATACGGTGCTAAGGTCCTCCACATGTGCAAGACTTTTGGCCCGGACCTTCGTACAGCTGGAATTCTTTGTCTCTTAAACCGCCAGCTGCCGATGGCTTATCAATTATGTATACTTCATGCCCGCACTTCGAATGGTAGCATCCGAGGTACTCCCAATCATCTTTCACCGTCGGTGTTAGGTATCTACAATACTAGTTGGGCCATTGCCACATCGCCGAAGTTAGGATCCCACTCTTGAGTTGGACAATGACGAACTATGAATCGTACCAGATTATTTTCAGTATCGTTTCCTACTTTCTCTACTAGGTACCGCTGCAAATAAAGGTGTATAAGGTGTATGTACTTGGTGGGTAGGACGGCTTCGATGTCTGCATTCCTCTTTATTACACCATCGATATGACGGACGGTGGTAGTACGGCATATAATAGCTACATCGAGGGGCTTCGACAAAATGAGTTCCCCATGTTGCGAGGCAAGCTGACCTTTTCCATTCCTACTCCTAACCAACTCTAAGACTAATCTAGTTGATTAACAAATTCATAGATGAAATCTATCTTGACCATGCCGGGACCACGTTGTATGCGAAGTCCCTCGTGGACAAATTCGCCGCGGATATGACGTCGAATCTCTTCGGCAATCCTCATTCCGCTTCTTTGTCCTCCCAGACTTCTACCTCTCGGATTGAAGATGTTCGACTCCGGGTCTTGCAATTCTTCAATGCTGATCCCTCCGAGTTCGACCTTGTCTTTGTAGCTAATGCAACCGCAGGCATTAAGCTGGTTACTGATGCTTTTCGGGGCCACGAGCTCGGTTTTGACTACTTGTATCATCAAGCATGCCACACTAGCTTAGTCGGTGTTCGAGAAGAAGCTTCACATAGTCTTTGTCTAGACGATACTGCTGTACACGATTGGATTAGTGGGACTAATCCGACTGCTGAATTTGGGCATCATGCCGGGCCAGTCCTTTTTGCGTATCCAGCTCAATCCAATATGGACGGCAGAAGACTTCCTCTAGATTGGTCCGATAAAGTACGCAAAGGCCAATCTGATTCAGACTGCTCAATTTTCACCTTGCTAGACGCTGCAGCATTTGCCTCAACGTCCCCTCTGGACTTAAGCAACTCGGAAACGGCTCCCGACTTTACTGTACTGAGCTTTTACAAGATCTTCGGATTTCCGGACCTGGGTGGGCTTATCGTGAGACGCCAAGCGGCGTCGATTTTTTCGTCACGTAAATACTTCGGAGGTGGCACGGTCGATATGGTGGTCTGTCTTAAAGAACAATGGCATGCTCCCAAGTCGCAAGCCTTACATGAGTCGCTAGAAGATGGGACGCTGCCAGTGCATAGCATCATTGCGTTGGCCTCGGCTCTTGATGTTCATCGTCAATTATTCAACTCCATGGAAGATGTCGCAGGCCATACATCGTTCCTATGCCGAAGACTATATCGTGGTTTAGATGTTCTTAGACATGGTAATGATCAACCAGTCTGTGTTCTGTACTCGCAACCTCCTCTCATGTCGAATAACGGTCCGGTCATCGCTTTTAACTTACGAAACCACCTGGGGGGTTGGGTTAGTTTGGCTGAATTTGAGAAGCTCGCGGTGTTGAAACGATTTCATATCCGCACAGGAGGGCTCTGCAACCCGGGTGGAATCGCATCTTCCCTTGGCCTTGAACCATGGGAAATGAAGAGAAACTTTTCTTCCGGCTTTAGATGCGGAACTGATAATGACATCATCGGCGGAAAGCCAACGGGAGTTATTAGAGTAAGCCTTGGAGCCATGAGCACCATTTCAGATGTCGATAAGTTCGTTGAGTTCATTGCTGAGTTCTATCGAATTGAAAATATCCCTGAACCTTTGTCTACCATTCCAATCCCAGCCCCCCAAAGCCCACCTGATCTATACGTGAAGAGCATCACTGTTTTCCCGATCAAGAGCTGTGGCGGATTCTGTGTTCCTACCGGGGTAATGTGGGAAGTAAGAGAAGAGGGATTAGCATGGGATCGAGAATGGTGCTTGGTTCATCGAGGTACCGGTCAAGCATTAAGCCAGAAGCGACATCCGCGCATGGCTCTCATCCGACCGGTGATTGATTTTACTAGGGGTCATTTGCGAGTTTCATATTTGGGCCCTTCAAAGACAAGCGAGTCTGAATTATATATCCCTCTATCCGCAAATCCATCTCTATTTCAAATTAGTGCTGCTTCCAAGCCAATGGCCTCCAGGGTTTGCGGCGAAGAAATTTCGGCGCAAATATATACATCTAACAGCGTGAATGACTACTTTTCAAAAATTCTCGACGTGCCGTGTATGCTAGCTCGATTCCCGCCAGGCGGTCTGGGGAAAAGTGTGCGGCATGCTAAGGCTCACCTCCAGAAACACCAAAAGGTCAATAAGAAGATACAGTACAAGATACCCTGCCAGTTGCCAGGCATGGATACGCCACCAGATTCAGATTCCGAATCTGAGCGGCAGCGGATTCTACTATCGAATGAAAGCCCAATCCTCGCAATAAACTTATCCAGCTTAGAGACGTTAAATCATCAGATAGTCGGGCAAGGCGGGAGACCTATCTCTCCAGAAGTATTTCGAGCAAACATCGTCATCGCCTCTTCAGCTTCAGAATCACAGTCGCTTGCCTATTCAGAAGATCATTGGTCGAGTTTAAGGGTTGGACAACAGGATTTCAAGATGCTAGGTTCCTGTCGAAGATGCCATATGATATGCATAGACCAAGATACAGCTGAAAAGAGCGAGGAGCCGTTCGTGACCTTGGCCAAGACGAGAAGGTTTGATGGCAAGGTGTTCTTTGGGACGCATATGTGCCATGTGCCTTCACGAAGAACTGACACCAAGGAGGCCCAATTTCCTACCATTGCGGTGGGAGATAAAGTACTCGTGGATCCAGTCTAATAGATTTTTAGCCTGGTCAAATGTTAACTGTATTAGACCTACGAGATGCATACGTGCCTTTATACCATGTCAAGTGCGAAGGAGAGAATTGCCCTAAGAGTTAAATATATAAAATTCAAAGATGCTATCTCACACCTGCCTAGGTACCTAGATACCGGCAGCTGTTCTAGAGGTATTGTTCATAACGCTAGAAGTGACCCTGTAATTCGCATAACCCATACTTGCGCGGTGTAGAAAATTTCCATCACTTATAGCAGCAACCCTGCTCTCAACTTAATAAGACATAAAGCTACTAGTGAAGGTAGTAGGATAATGAGCTTATTCTTCTTATTCTTCTACTTCTACTTTGTCGACATGGCCATCCTCTACCATCTGGGCAAGCGCATCCACGTAACCGCCGCTTGTAAAACATGTCTTAGTAGCCCATGCCTCATCTTCTAGGAGCCAAGGCATGGGTGTTGAGATGTTCGAAAGTTCATGAAGCGTACGCCGGAGGTTTTGTGTATGGCGCAAGTTACTTCGGTCCTCGAGTAACTGGACCCCTTCAATAATGCAGTGTAGGCGAAGCGGAGCAGCATTTCGAATCTCTCTTAATATTTCCAGCGCAACGCTAATATCTGCTTCGGGATTAATCAAACTGACGATACGCGCGATGGACGGATCGACTCCGCGAAATATCAGCCTAGGCAGGAAATTGGCAAGCTGTGCAACAATGGACTTGACCATTTCCAATAGCAACTCCTGACAAGAGAGCGTTGATAGGCCGTCCTGGCCAAGAGGTACGCCATGAAGTCTGAGCGAGCAGAAGTAAGATACGCACGGGATCTCAAGATCTTTTGATAGCGCCTTAATGAATATAGCCGTCAAGGTATTTTGACTAGGGTATGGCGCCCCGTGAGGACCTTGGATCCAAATTGCATCCTGGTGAGAAGACGTAGCCCAATCGTAGATCCGATTTTTAATATGATCCTGAAGTGGGCTCCTCGATGTTGTTACGATAGTATTCTCGATATTATCCATATCTAAGAGGTGTCTTATCAGAATCGGACGAAGAACATCCTGAACAACCCGGCGAGAGTTCAAATAACGCTTAAAGGAGTTTTCTGGATCCATTACTTCCGCTGGAGTTGGATGTAGGCAGTTGATATTGTTTTGGTCCATCGCTAGCGAGTCGCAAAAGGGTACACTATCAGGATTCTAGATGAGACATCTAGAACAAAGGAACTGTTCAGTATGTATAGACGAGAGATCTTCATAGGTAGTTTAGAGTTCCTTGCAGAACAACGAAGTTGTTTCTATGCTGTTTCGTTCCACCTCGTGACAGTTGCCAACATCCCAAGTGGTAGAGGCTCCCCGGTATAGCGATCCTGTCAACCAAGTGGGAATAGTACCCTCAATGTCGAGTTCGGTGGGCTGCTGAACTTCTGGAGTGTCATGGGTAGCTCTTGGTATGTGACCACTACGGAGTGACAGGTGACTAGCTGGTAGATAGCTTCACCCTAAATCTTAGAACCCTTATCACGTCATATGCCTATCGTAACCCCTGTTATCTGACATGGAATGCAGTAAAAACCCCAAGTTAACGGGTTGGAATCTGGCGGAGGACGACAGTGATACTCAGCTTGTGATTGAACAAGCTGGCCGGTGGCAAGAGCAAGTATAAGGTGATTTCTGAAAGACATTATAGTAGCCTTAGCGAGTTGTGTGATAGTGTTGTGTGAATCGATGCATCTTCAAATTTAGTATCACATCGCACACATGAACCTCTTATATAATTTCTAGCTTGTTATCTCAACCCTATGATCATCATACCCTTCATCTCCTAATTACTTGAAACTGAGCAAGCCGTAGTACGTGTATGCGAATGCGAGTTTTCGGAAGCATGATAGAGAAAGGCTTACGCAACATATCCAACGATTATAGTCTTCGCTATGACGGTGTTGAGTTCTAAGCACTTATGTGAAGCTACGAATTAGACCCTTTGCTAGTTTTTGGGACGAAAAGGATGGAAGTTAGGCCGAGTTAACTAGACTACCTACGGGGGGCACGTACCGTAGGACTTTAAATTCAAACTAGAGCAAAACTCTGATTGGCTAAAGTTACCTTTTATACGATTCTCAGCATTGTAGGAGGTAATTAAGGAGATGAAGCGTTGATGAAGATGATTGTACTTTAGCACCTGTCAGCATACTTATCAATGCCACTATCCATTACATCATGCAGTAGGTAGTATAGCCTCTAAGAACCATAATATAAATAATAGCGGTTCGTTTATTTTGACTGGATCAGATGAAATAAGTGGTCTAACTATATTATATTGACAAATATCAAAGCCAGCTACCCATCCAGATAAAACAAGCCCTCATTAACCGCAAAAGAAGACTTCCCATAGCTGTTAATGAATGGAAGAGTTAAGTAATATGATGAACAACAATAAAGGATTCGTGTAGTTGACGAGTACTCGGCGTTTTGTTATCAATTAGCTGAGCTTCAACTCTCTCCCACAACTCTAAGTTCCTCCTCTTTCTATCCTCTGTTACCTGCCTGCCTCCCACGTTCACTGCACTGGCGGCATGAATGCCGGGGCATCTTAAGCCGTCTAGTTTCAGGTACCAAAAGACCTTGTGCACAAGGGACAAAACAGGTTACTTTTCGGTCGAAGTCCTGCCGCCCGAAGAAGTGTTTCCCTTCGCGGCACCATCTTTGCTTGAAAACGTAGTAACACATCACGGCTTAGGAAGTGCGTCCGTGTCGTGATGAGCTAATCCACAAGCCACCTGAATAATCTATGTAGTATGATGGATTGCCTTGGTTGCTCAGTTAGCAGAGATGGTATTTGGTGTTTGCCAATATCTTGCTATTGCGAAACTGTTGAGTGAGGAGGATTTTGATATTAGGGGAGGTTGAAGTTCTCTCGCTAGGAGATAGGAAAAATTAGGCACTTACCTTATTTATAAGCCGCAGTTTTCTTTTGTGTACCTTTAACGTTCAAGGTACATCGATCGAATGCCTTGAACATTATCAACGTAGGATATTCTATGTGATATTCTATGTCATTGTTGAGTGCTAGCAAGATTTCCATTCACTAACCTCAAAATTAAAGATGGCTAAAACATGTGTATATCACCTGTTCATACCCAGATTCACAGGCGTCCGTTAAAGACTCAATCATGAATACCTACCTATGATGGCCTGAATCGCTCAAATTGAACAATTTTTCAAAGACGTAAATATTGCTCTCGGTAGACCGTTCCTACATAGGTAGCTATGTGTTAAACTCAGCTTCTGTAAAGCTATATTCATGAGTAGTAGAATGAAGAGCCGTGGTGACAAGTTGAAATATAACCTTGCCAAGGTTACAACAGGAGTTACGTGGTCATTTAGCAAATCTAGACAACCTCATGACTTAGTATCTAAGTCATATCGTTTTTGTATATATAAACAGAGCCTTGTAGCATGCTGTATATGATGTTCTGGGTTCCCAATAGATGATACACTTTGAATTCAGCCTTGTGATAATCCTAGTGTTTAATACAAGCTCCTATTCACATAGGTTATTACAGTATTATATTTTATTTTTATTTATATATTATTTTATCCGCAATACTTCCAGGATGTTAAGTACTAGTTAACTATCGTTCTAAGCTAGATATACAGGCTATAGATCTATAACAATATAGGAATACAGAAATACTATATAGCTTCGTACGTAAGCAATCGGGCCTCGCAAACCTTCATTCTATGTCCTCTTGTCGCGACGCTTCTCTATCCACTGAGTATTGAGATCCGCCCTCCCACGAGGCCATTCGTCCTAACTTCCTGCTTAATAATATTGATTTTGAATTCAACGTTCTCTTCGCGACCATAAAACGACAGAAACCCATTTTTATCGATCCAATAACAAGCACCGATGTCCCCTTGGACTTCTCGACCTTTTATGAGTACACTATCGGAGTCCATATGGCTTTGGTACTTTGCGTTGAAGAAGCTCAGAACTTGCACATTAGCTGCTTCGAGACTACTATATGTGCCTAATAAGTCGAATTCGTGGCCTATATACGGACCGTGTTTCGCATGTGCGACGGTATAAACTGCGGTCACGTCCTTATTCTTATTGCTGCTTGCCGCCGCGGAGGGGGTACGATCTTGGATCAATTTCCGGGCTTTAAGATCTCTGATCATCGGGAGTGGGTAAGCGACTTGAAGTTCTTTGAAAGTAAGAATTCTCCGCGGTTCCTCGTCCTCTTCCGAGTAGTCCGATCTTTCGTCGTCATCGTCAATACTCTCGCTCTCCAATTGCTCATACTTGCTTGTCCCTTTCATATTCTTTGCGCGCTTGGGGCTAGGCCGTGTTGTCTCAGCTTCGGCTACTTTTCGTTTGACCCTTGTCATAATCAGGTAGATATTCGGTGGATACTCTTCGAATAGACACTCTAATATGAAAAAAAGTTATAAAGACCTCGTTTAGTGATGAGGAGAATTGTCCAAAAGAAAGCTTGATTAATTGATAAAACTCTTCACACGAGTAAGAACTGAATAGCGTGCAGGTTATGGCCTAGAAACGACATTGGCTTCATCGATGGGAGATGTGCCCCTTAAAAATTACACGATCATCGGGAGCACAGACACTAATCTCGTGAAAGTACGGAATATCCCTGACCTAATATTATCGAAAATCCTAGAAGCTTCGTCGTTCTTGAACATTACAATAATTCCAACCAACATTACCGCACGATTCCCAGAGCTGCACCAGTGCTCAGATTTGGCGGACCACTTCGCTCATTGCTCGCTCTGGGTGTATGTTGGCACACTGCTTGAAGAAGTAATCGAAATCCCTGCAGCTACTCCACGAACAATTGAGCCTATGCATTATGTCAAAGAAAGAAAGCACAAGTCAATAAAGCAAACATCGAGAAATACATAGGTACGAAGCTTAATTATTATCTTGCTAGGCTTATCTCAGTAAATTTAGACCATAAATTCGATATCGTTCGTAAGGTTATACCTTTTTTAGCCACATTACTTTTCAACCAATTAAAATCTGGAACAATTTTTTAAAACAATATCGAATTTATAGTTTAAAGTAACTTTAAAACTTTATATATTAAAAATATATATTTAACGTTTTAAAATAATAATATTATTAAAAATAATAATATTAATGTATTTTTATAATAAATTTAATTAATTATATAATTATATTAATTTTATTATTAAGTTTATTAATTAAATTTATACGTTTTATGTAAGTAAAATAAAATATTTATAATAAAAAAAAATAAAAAAGAAATAATACGAAATAAAGTTATTATAATAATTATTATTATAAAAATTAATTAATGTTATATTAAATGATGTAAAAATTACGAATTATATGTGTAAATGTTATTTAAAAAAAATTACCTTTTATATAAAAAATAATTACGTGTCATTACGTAATTATCTTTATATAATAATATACTTACATTAATAACTTTTTTTTTTTCTTTTTTTTTTTCATATAACGTAATTATATACAATTTAATTAAATTTAATTAATTTAACATTAATAATTTTTTTTTTTTTTTTACTTTTAATCCGTTTTTTTTATATTATAACGTAATTATTAATAAGTTTTAATTTATCGTAATAATAATAAATTAAAACGGTTAAAATAAAAATGGTTAAATTTTTTATATATAATTAAATTTTTTATTAAATTTCTCATTTAATTAAATTTCGTTAAATCTTTTCGTTTAATTTAATCTCGCATTAAACTTTTTATTTAATTAAATTTCGTTAAATTTTTTCATTTAATATAATTTTTCGTTAAATTGGTTAAAGTTAATTAAAGTTAATTGGTTAAAACGGTTAAAATAAAAGTTATTTAATTAAAAACAAAGTTATTTTCGATTAAATCGTTTAATTAAAAACAAAGTTATTTTTAATTAAATTGTAAAAATTATCGATTTAAATTAATTAAAAATAATCGTATATTATAATAAATTTAATATAATCATTTAATTTTAATTTTATAATAAAAATTTTTAACAATTTTAATTTTTTTATTTAATATATTATCCGTTAAATTATACCTTTTATTTTTATATTTATATTTGTTATTATAATAATATACTTTAACATAATCGGTAATATTTTATAATTTTATCGGTCGTATATTAAACTTATTAAACTTTAACAAAATTATTTATAAAATTAATTATACTTGTAAAATTAACTTTAATATTATTAAAATTAATTATATTTTTCGTAAAATTAACTCCGATATTATTTATAAATTTAACACCGATATTATCGTTAATTATAAAATAAACTCGGGTAAAAATTCCGAGAATTTTTTAACGTTAATTATTATTTTTAATCTTTTAAAAGTAGTTTTATTATTAAAATACATTTTATAATATAAAAGATAATTTGCCATTAATAATTAAAATAAACGGTTTATTTTTTAAAAGTATTTTATTTATTATCCCGTAAAAAAATCTTTAAAATTATCCCATGCATTTTCGTTACATTTATCGTTGTAATACTCGAAATAATACGTAAAACTTTCCGTACAATACGTGTTAATTTCCTTTACCGTTACTTTATTTAATTCGGAATTATTAAAATTAATAATTAAATTAATGTTTAAAATATTATCGTTAATATATTTATTTTATATTAAAGTTATATTAAATGGTTATAAATGTAAATATAATAAAATTATTATATAAAATACATAATAAACGTAAATCTTTTAATTTATTTAAAAGCTTTAAAATTTTAAAATAACATAATAACCGTTAATACCATTATTTTTTTTCGTTAAAAAAAAATGAAAAAAAAACGTTTAACGCTTTTTATAATTTTTTTTAACTTTATTAATTTATGGTTTTATTTTTTAACCAATTATTAATCAATATAAGTAAAATAAAATATCCGTAATAAAAAAAAATAAAAAAAAAACAATATAAAATAAAGTTATCACAATAATTATTATTACAAAGATTAATTAATATTATATTAAATAATATAAAAATTACAAATTATATATATAAATGTTACTTAAAAAAAATTACCTTTTATATAAGAAATAATTACGTATCATTATATAACTATTTTTATATAATAATATGTTTACATTTTAAATTTTTTAAAATATTAAAAATGGTTATAATAACGGTTATAACGCGTTAATTGCAATATTGGTTATAACGGTAATTGTAATAAACGTTAAAATTTAATATATAAAATTATATAAATATATAAAAAAAGTTAAAAAGTTTAAAAAATAATATTATTAATTTTAAATTATTAAAAAAAAAAAAATTTTATATATAATTATAAAATATTAAAGTATTATATTTAAATATATAATATTTTAAAACGTTAAAAATTTTTAAACGTTAAAGTTTAATATATAAAAAAGTAATATTTTATAAATATATAAAAAAAATAAAAAGTTAAAAAAAATATATTATAAACTTTAAATTATTAAAATTAAAATTATTTTATATATTATTATAATATATTAAATTATTATAAATATAATGTTTAATTTTTTTATTATTAATAAAAACGTTAAAAATCTTTACAATATAATATAACTTTAAACCAAAAATTTTCGAATGTTTTGCCTGTAACTTATAGGTATAAACACATAAACCACACGTTGCGTGGCGCAGGCAGGCGCAGCCCGCCTCGAAAATTTCGGGTCTGAGGTTACCTGAGATAATGCTAGGCGTTATATTCCTATTTATACTTGGATAACTTGTGGCACGTGTTTCCGATACCCTCCCTCCCCAGTTGAGGGAGAAGCCACAATTTGAAAAGCGGATAACTACATATATATCTGGAGGGATATAATCCGTATCCTATGCGAGTAATAATAAGTTACTGAAGGGTAGAAGCTCACAGGGAAACAAATAGACGATGCTGCACCACTAACGCCGTATTAGATCCAACAAATGCCTTCGCTCACACCTAATAGGCAGATAATATGCGGAAAGGATAATTTCGGAGGCCCCCCTTACATGTCTTAATAAGAGGTACCTATTAGGTAGGTTACAGTCCCTCTCCGGTAGGGGGGTATTTTGTTAGTTTTGAAGTTTTGAGGTTAATCAACTACCTGCCGGTGGAACCAACAAGACTTTAGGATCATGATGGTAACACAACCTTGGAAATGGTGACGGTAACAGCTTGCATTTTCCTCATTCTTCCTTCTTCCTTTGTTCAATGTAACTTGCTATACCTTCTCTCCCAGCTCAGTCAACCCCACCTCAATTCTCGCAGTAATGTCTTGGTCCACGGTGCTGGTAGCACTAATCCCGCTTCTAGTGACAGTATATTTCACTAGTTGGGTCTGGTCTATACTGCAAAACTATGCGGCTGCCCGCACAATTGGCATTCCCATACGGGTCATCCCATTTAGCCCTTTCAATCCATTCTGGACCCTCGTCGATCGAAAGGTTGCTTTGCTTCTCCGCCGCTTGCCGTATGTTGGAGAGAACACCGTCACTCGCTACAATTGGCGTGGATGGGACCTAGAAGATAGGTGGAAATCCCACTATGAGATGGGAGATATCTTCGTTCTGGTGACGCCCCGGTACAACATGGTTCAACTAAATGACCCAGAAGCTACTATGAGCGTCTTCAAGAGGGCCGCAGACTTCCCTAGACCATGTTGGGTAAACGATGTCCTTGGTGTCTTCGGCCCAAACATATCTTGTGCCGAAGGTCAATCATGGAAGATGCAGCGGAGAGTCGCAACTCGCTGCTTTAATGAGGCGAACAATGAGATCGTGTGGCACGAAACTCTCGGCCTCTCGGATGATATGCTCCGTTATTGGTCCTCCAAGACTTGCGTCAAATCCGGCGCTGAAGACATTCGCACACTCACGCTCAACGTGCTTGCTCGAGCTGGCTTTGGTAAGTCGTTTAAGTTTCGGGGCTACGAGGAGGAGAAACCAGTTGACGAGATCCGATCTATGAGCTACAGGGTATCCTTAGGTCTCATTCTAGAGAACCTCATAGTTATCTTGGCCCTCGGTCCCAAGACGTTGGCGTCTTTTGCTCGGTACTGGCTCCCTTCCAAGCTGAGGACCGTTAACGAGGCTGTCGTCTCGTTTCAGAAACACATGACCACCATGTACGAGGAACAAAAGCGTGCTTTCGCCGCTGGGGAGGAGAACTCAGATAATAACCTTATGACACTCTTGGTCCGCGCCTCACAAGAAGCTGCTAATGAGCAATCAGGGGGCCTGACCGAGAGTGAGATATATGGTAATATGTTTACCTTCAACTTCGCCGGCCATGATACAACAGCCCACAGCTCAACATTTGCCCTGTACTTTCTTGCGGCAAATCCCCAAGTCCAGGATTGGATTTCCGAGGAGATCCAGTCCATCCTCGGAGATCGACAGCCGCACGAGATAGATTATCGCAGTGACTTTCAACGTTTTAAACGTTGCCTGTCTGTACTATACGAAACCTTACGCCTTTACACCATCGTTCCCGCGATTAAATGGACCGGCGACCAGGCAACGACGCTTACTGTAAGCGGTAGAACTTTACACCTGCCCGCGAAGACTATAATACTACCTAGTTACGGCTCTATGCATACAGATCCCAAGTATTGGGGACCTGATTCGCTGGAGTGGCGTCCCTCACGCTGGATCCGACCTAGCGCTAATAAACCAGGTGACGAAGAAATCGACATGAACCGACGTGGTGTCTTCTTGGGGTGGTCCGAGGGCACGCGCGATTGTCCCGGTAAAAAGTTCTCCCAGGTTGAGTTCGTGGCTCTCATGGTGGGTCTATTCCGGCAGTGGCGAGTAGACCCGGCCAGGAAATACCCGGATGAGAGCATCGAGGCCGCGCGTGGGCGAGTCTTGGACCTTATTAGGGAAGACAGTGGTTGGGTCTTGCTTCTGCAGATACTGCATCCAGAGCGGGCACCTCTGGTATGGAGGAAAGTATAGTGATAGCGGAAGGGAACAAATAGGAGTATGAAACAATAAAAAATGTAGAAGTTTCAAAGTAAATAACATTATTAATTAGGTACATATCTATCTATCGCGAATATACTTGTAATTTAAGTGTAGATACATAGGTAGCTACTATTATTCTAGTTTTTGACCTAGAACATAAATTGTATTACTCTTAGAACTATGCATTATAGTGGAAATAGAAATCTGACTCGCGTTATATAATTCTGGTTTGGATTTATATTGGCCCTTTCCATTTAGCATAGGAAGACCGTTCTCATCCAGGGCGCTTTCACCTAAGCCTGTCTTGATAAAGTCATATTTACGAGCCACGATGGCAATTATGACGCGTGATTCAAGATTCGCGAGTTCCGAACCGATACAGGCCCTCGGCCCTCTCTCAAACGGCCTCCATGCACTAGGAGGATGCTCTTGGTTTTCTCATCGAGCCATCGCTCAGGCACCCAGTCATCCGCAGTGTCTCCATAGACATTCGGATCCCGCTGTATAATGCTCTGGCACGAATACATTATGAGACCGTCAAGGCAGTACTCCTCGCCGGTAGCTGCACGAACTGTGAAGCCGGTCCCAGGCTCCGTCATTCGAACGGTACCAGCAGGCGGGTGTAGGCGGAGCGTTTCCTTGATGACAGCATTGATATAGTGCATGCGCAGTAGGAGGCTATCGCCCTTATGCACGAGCGTAGCACATATTATTCGAGGGTCTGATTCGTCTCGTATAGCCTTGAGTGCGCGGGGCGTGTGGCTCAGCTCGTAGAAAGCCCACTGCAGCGCGCTGGTGTTTGTGTCGTGGCCTGCAAATAGAAAACTGCGTACTTGATCTGATGTTTCCGATACAAGTTGGGGCGTCAGTGCTTCGGATTCTTGTAAACCCAGCGCGACGATGCTCTGCCGTCTGTTTCCGTCTACCTCTTCTTTCAATTCGGCATACTTATGTTGTATTATATTCTTGATCAGTATATCGATGCGCTTAGCCAGCTAGTTTCGTTTTAAAGCTGTAAAAGGGGCAATCCACCACGGGAGATTATACTTATCATCGTTATACGTCTGGACGAGTTGCCTGAATAAACGGATTATCTCGCCTTGCTTAGAAGGATCTATATGCTGAGCATGCAGGTCGACTGCTAGTACGGCGGCACCAATGACATCAAACGTTAAGTTAGATATAAGCGTCTCGAGGGAAAATTCTTCCCCTGATACTATGAGCTGATCCAGGCGGTTCCAGAATGTTTCCATTTTCTCGAGTAAAAGGGGTAAGAAAAAGGGGTAAGAGGTTCCACAGGTGTTGAGTCGTGAACCCTGGATTATATCTTTTTGCGAATATTCTTCCAGTCATGACCCTAAAAATGCTAAGAATTAGAGATACCCGTCGATCAGGACGTTAAAGCTCACCTCTCTACCTAAGATTGATGTTGAACCTATGAGAGGAACCATATGGGTCCAAGTTGGTGACTTAGGCACGCTCAGAGGGAAAAGCTTGGTAGGCTTTGATATCTGCTCGGCGACATCATGGCTGGGTAGAAGAACCATTGGAGGGGTTAGTAGGCCGCAAATCTACAAGCATTATAGGAGGGCGTCCTATAGATTCCCACATCTCTTCGAAGATTCTATCTACCTAGTTGTCAGAAATCTGCCAGTTAGACGAGTATAGTAGTTGAAAGTGTGATTTTATCCATTTGAAGCAGGGGTTTCCTAAATAAACTCGTCCTATATCATACCTGGGTGGCGGTCGAGAATTCCGCAATACATGAATTCGCCAAAGACCTTGAGATGTCCCCAAAGAAGGTGGTTCGGCAACTGTGAGATATGCACATATTGTGTGAAACGCCAATATCTCAGCCTTGCGTAGAGATACGAGACTAGCAGCGTGGCCGTTGCAAGTAGGAAAAGCTCGAACATGGTGGTACGTGATCGTGTTGTTAAATACTTGGGAACTTGGAACATTTATGACAAGGAGCTCTGAGGTGTATTATAATGATTCAGTTTCGAATAGGTGAGCGGTATTTCCATGTTACATTTCCACGTACGCAATGACAACTCTGCAGTTCAAGGCTGTCAAATGATTTCTCATCTGCCTTTGAAAGCCTGTAGAGTGGTAGTTGGGTTGAAAAGAAAAAACCAACACCGAAGAGGAAAGGATGGATTATGTAAAGATATTTAAGAGAGTCGCTCTGCATTCTAGAGGTGTAATTACTAGTTATGATTCGTCGAGACACAAATGAGTTGGTGGCACGGCATGGTTAATCTCCTTTGTTGTAGCCAACTGACTTGAGAAACTCAGCAAATCGTATCCCCTGCCTACAAAACCTCCTGTCCAACCCTTAGTTGCTGACATAACTCCAGCTCATGTTCGGATGAAAAGGTATTTCTCTTAGACATACGATGAGGCGCTTACTGGTTGTGTAGCTATTACTTTGAAGGGCTGAGTGATAACATATGTACTAGGTAGTGATCCAGCTACCCAGGTATGGTGCTGTGGTTTGACGATGAAAGTTTTGGAGTTTGACTCCGAGTTCCTGACTGGGATTCTCTTGGATGATTGAAATAATCATGGCAAAGATGTGGTCCACGTCTTTAACTGCCTGACTCTCTATATTAATCATATATGATAGCTATATGTACAGATAAAAGGGGCAATTATGAGTAAACTAGACAGTCATTACTGTGATACATAAAAGCAGAGTTGCAAAAGCATTTAAAGAAAAGGGTTTCCAGAGGCTGGTGAGTGAAAGTCGCGATCGTAAAGTCATTTGACATATACTGCAATAACATCAACTATTCTGCTAGGATAATATTTAGGACGAATATTATCTTCACGTTGTGCACCCCTTCACGGCTGGTCGGCAATAGACCTAAAGAAATATCAACCGCCCACATTCAACTCAAATGGAGACAGTAGATCTCTCCAACTATGATTGGTATAACCGCGACGAAATCCTACAGACTCTCAGTCTGATCCAGACTGGATACTACCGCCAATTTAACAGTTTTGTGGATATTCTTTCGAGCGTGTCTTTGGAGGCGTTAATTCAGAGTCATATTAAAACGCGAATCAGCAGCTGGATCCAATCTATCAATGAAGATACGATCTGGATCCAAGGTTCTCTTTACGGGGTGTGGATTCCTACTAGTCAAAATACGCTGGAAGCTATATATGCTAAGGTGGCATCTGATAATGCAGGGATCGCAAACGTATCCTACTTTTACTCCCTTAGGCCTCCAGTATTCACCGGCCAACCGGAACCCTCCAAAGGCGAGATGCTATTAGATATGGTTAAATCCATCATTGTACAGCTTATTATGTTCCTGCCCGACGAAATATACACAGATATGGACCTGTCCACCGAGCGATTCCTAAGGCTAACCGATCCTGGAGTGGATATTAACACTGCGCTTTCATTAATGAGAGATATACGAGTGTTCGCTCCGCCTTATCTAAACTGTATTGTCGAAGGGCTCGAGAAGGTCGAGAGCCCAACTGATGCAAGACATACACGAGACCTCCTTCGTACACTTCTTGAACTTTCGAAACACGCGCCGGAGCTGGCATCGAATGTGCGAGTTGGGGACTATGTAGCGGCGAAGACTGTCAAGGCATGCTTCACGAGCACCGGCAACGTGGTTGCGCTCGACAATATGGTAAATACTGGCCGTGCTGAGAAAGTTATGGAGACCCCTTATCTTTCAACTGCAGGAGCCTATATTTTGCCTAACATCTATGGTTTACCTTAGGATATTTTATTCTACTCGTGTAAGAGTTTACTGGTTAATCGGACATATCTTTATTGCTTTACGTATGTTTTATATCAGTTGTACTATATAGGTACCTTAGGTAGGCATTTATTATTTTACTTATTTTATGTATGAGCCTATACGCAGTAAACCTTTTAAGCTATATATTTTCCGGATGGTGACCTCTGATTAAGATGCGAGCTTAGTTGGGGTTAGGGTTAGGGTTAAATATACGACGAAGAGCGTATTGTTTATATAGGTACCTCCTAATTATTAATCTAATGAACTAATTAGGTGAAGAAAAACATTGAGGTTAACAATGAGTAAAAGTACCTAATATATGCATACGTGCGCACGTATAGACTATCACCCGACTTCTCCTCGATATTTACAACGAAGGCTTCTTTATCGTCCACCAAGTTACCCACCACGAACACAGAGTATAGCGGAGCTTTTGTATGAGAGATAATCGTGGAAGAGACCAACTTCTAGTATCGTATCCTGAAGCCCAGATAGCCATACCTATTGTCTTCATAGCATGCATGGAACTGCGGTAGCATGTTAGCACAAATAATTATAACGATATACCAGCATAAGGTTGTGACAGTAGCTTACAGTCTAAGTAAGAAATAAAAGGCCACAATTGCACTACCTTCCACCTCATGCTTGTTGTTCCAATTAATGTGCACCCCATATAGGCTTTGGATCACCAATGGCAACCAAAGGAGAGCTAATATAGGGCCCATAAGAAAATGGGGATACCAGAAGAGCTCCGGATTCGGGCAATTGAGTTCCTCTGTAATTTTCTTAATACTGTGAATGTATGCGTAGATTTCAACCTATTGAAGGTTAGCCCCTGTCATAGCGAACCGTGTGGCCACAAATGTGCGCAAGACATGTTCAAAGAAACTTACCACTATAGGTATATACTGAAAGAGCCTTAATCCTGGGGGCAGAACAGATGCAGGCATAACCTTATAGCATATAATGGTTAGAAGCGGAATGAGTATCATGACGTTGAACATGTCCTGCCACTTCATATAGACGAAATGGTCAAACGAATCATGTGCATATTTATAGCAAGGTCGGTGCATTCGTTCCCAATTTACAGGCCAGCCGCAGTAAGAGCAGACATGGCCATGCTCCCCATCCGCAAAGATAATTTGTGCAAGCTTGCTTCTGTCGTTGTAGGCCGGACTTCGCTCCACACGAAAGCATTGGAAACACATTGAGCTCCACAGGCTCGGCCAGCGTAGCTCATCAAAAACTAAGACGTAGTCAAATTCTTGAAAGCAGTCAACACAGTAGTAACGCAGCTCGGGGGCAGGCTGTCCATCTGCGCTAAAGTAGTTTATAATGTTGTCGCGTGTGAAGTGGTGGTAGTAGTGCCGGCACGTCCGTCGAAGGCGAATTACGTCACTGAGGTCTAGGAAAGATATGACGTGAAGATGAAGTTCTACTGGTAGCGACGCCAGTAGTGAAAACTTTCCAGGAATAGCGACGAGATTTGATGGTATAGGGGGTCGTACGTCCGCACTCGCCCTTCTATGGGCTCTGTAAATTGGTAATTCCGAACCCTCGGTGTTTGACATAGTTGCAATACTTTATAGTAGCAATTTGAAACCTTGAAACTTTATGAAAAGAGCGGCGGTAAGCGTATTCGTTGCTCCAGACAAGACCTTCGTAGGTATTTTCGTTGAGCAGCACTTAGTGCAATATTCCTAGTTGTCGTTCGAATCGCTTGGTTCTACCGCAAATCTCCTAGCCGTACATCTTAGGAGAGTCGATGTCTCTGATTAAAGGGGTGAACGATATTTAAGTATGCGTAGAGAGGATCGTTTTCCTTGTGCCAAATGGTCATACTAATGCTATTTATATATTCTGTTGAAAGTTAAAGTAGCTACTAAAAATGTGTAAGTTATGGATAAGTTTGTAAATTTCGAGGTCTTGGTGACTGGTAGACTCTTACTTTGCCTTCGTACCTCTGTACCTTATGAGTCTTCTGAATTAAACATCAATGTAAGTCTGTGGGTATTAAGTTGTTGCGACATGTGATAGAACTTTGTTCAAGGGGGGCATTGGCACGCTTGGGCACACATATTATTGTCTGTATAAAGATCAAATACACGACACTAATCCTTACTCCAAATTTGGGTCGATGATGGTCCCAGGCTTGGGTACAGAATTGGCTATCTCGCCGCATTTTCCACATTTCCGATTCTCCTCGCTCGACATGAACTTTTCAATGGCAGCCTTGATCTGAGTTCCAAGGTCTGTGCAGTGGAAAGCAGCCTCGTGGACGATCTCACCGCATTCCTGACAGTACCAACGCATACGGTCGATGGTATCCTGAGGCCGTTTCTGCTCGAGTACCACACCAATGGTATCGGCAAAACGCACCGGGTTATGAGGTGTATTTCCTGGCAAGAGAAACATATCTCCCTCGCGGATTATGATATCTCTAAATTTACCATCGTCAACGACCTTCAACATCATGGCTCCCTTGTACTGGTAGAACCATTCTGGGGTCTGATTGATGTGGTAGTCGGTCCGGGCGTTGGGACCACCAACAATCTAGTAAGGACGTAGATTGGATTAGCTTATTATCGTAGAGTTAAGCCTAAGGTTTGATAAATGCCTTTGCTCACCATAACTGTGAAATCTTCGTTGTAGACACAGTAGTTGTTGACGGGTGGCTTTAGGAGATGGGCGTTCTCCTCAAGCCTTAGCTATTATTAGTCGAGCCAAGGCCACAACAGAATCTTGTTGGCTTACCACTTTGGGAGATTTACTGGCGTGGAGAGCATATTGGTTGGCTAAGACGAGGGATGTTGACTGTGGATATTTCTTCCTCTGCTTATGAGGATTATGTCGCTGGACTTAGAGGTTGCGATTCTTTTCCCAGGCTTCTTTCATGCTGGTTTTCAGCACACGGAACCGTCGGATTTAAACTGTCTCTAACATTCAAGGTGACAATTAGTCATTGGAACCGATAGGGACTTATGTTATCAACTCTCACTCTATTCTTCCGCGAGTTTCCGCTTCTTATAACGTAAGGATTGAAAGAGCTACCGGAGACTTTACGACCCCACCATCGAACGCTTTATGCCGATAACATCCTTATCAGATTCGGGTTTAACATGGATCTGTACAGATATAAACACGCCCGGAGTGTTCGTAGGGTTGTATATTTACATACCTACATCCTAAAGGTTAGGTACCTCTTATCCCTACCCATGCTTCAGGGTAACATCTCAAAATGTTAGTAAGAATAGCGATTTTCTAGTCCACGTACTTAGAATCCATAAACATGTTAGAAGCTACTTAGTGGTTCTATATCATCTTTTTCATCTTCCTCCCATTCGCGCTCGAGATGAGTATGAGAGAGATACAGCCGGTGGAATCCGAGAAACTCGAATGCAATAGCCAAATAGAGGTCATAGCGCAAGATCTTACAGATGATCTCAACCAATCTTACCCTCAAGGCATTAAGCTAGCGGCAATTGTCGCTTCATTAGCTATATCAGTCTTCCTGTGTGCTCTGGTGAGTAATAGATAGATTGATCGATGATACCAGATGTTTTACACTCTCCTAGACGCATACTTATTCTACTAGGACGAGACAATCATCACGACAGCTACTCCTAACATTACCGACGAATTCAAGTCGATCAACGATGTCGGCTGGTACGGATCAGCATAATATACCCAACTTGCAAGCTCTCTCATATTTACCGCCGCTAGTTTCAGGACATTTGCGGCATTTCAACTTATATACGGAAAATTATTATTATTTTATTCCATAAAGCATGTATTCCTTACTTCCATTGCTATTTTCGAGCTTGGCTCTTTGCTCTGCGCCGTAGCACCTACTTCAATAGCCTTCATAGTCGGTCGAGCTTGTGCCAGCTTGGGTAGTGCTGGTATTAATGCTGGCTTCATCATGTAAGACTCACTTAGGCCTGGTCTTCGGTTCCCCGCGTTCATATTGTTTTAGTATCTTCGCAGCATCTCTTCCTCTTGAAAGGAGGCCACGCTTCGTCAGTTCGAACAGTGGCATGTACGGCATTGCGTCGGTGGTTGCACCTCTTCTGGGCAAAGAACATCCAGCAGCTAGTACATGGCGTGAGAAGGGTAAACAGATGGATCTTCTGGGTCCCAGCTTAATGATACCCGCTGTTGTGTGTCTGCTCATTGCCCTTCAATGGGGCGGTTCCCTCTACCCATGGGACAGCGCCCGGCCTATTGTCTTAGTTGTCGTTGGGGGTGTAGCTTTGATGGTTTTTTTTTTCGTTCAATACCGGAAGCAAAGAGTCCATTAAGAAGAAGAACCATAGACCTATAGATCTTACGGGAGATGAAGAAGTAAAGTCTATAGCCCCTATTAGTTAGAGTAAACGATAGGAAATAGATATAAGGAGGATGAAATCTAGGTAATGCATAATTGATTTATGCATACTTCTACATAATCCTTATTAATTGGAGTACCTAGATACATGTACATACATGTACAAACTCGAACTATGTAAAGGCTGCATGCATTAGCGCTTTACCTAATCTAGGCGTAGCACCAAGTTACCGAAGCTCTGAGGTTGTTTAGAAACGACCTATCAAACCATCCCATCTGACACCATCGTCACGTTTGTCACTTAGAAGTGAGCACGTTTAAGCAAGTTTCCCAAGATTTAAACATCGAAGAAGTGCCATTTGAATTGATTTTTTGAACCTCTGTCTTATTTCATCGTTCATAGCTCCTAGCTATCTTTCTATCATCTTCCTAATCCCGTTTATACCCGACCCTTTCGAGAATTCCACTTCCGTAACCTCACCGATGGACCATTCGCACATGGATCACGGACATATGGACCATGGCGATATGGGCCATGGAGATGGCGGACACGGTGGCATGCCGATGTGCAACATGAATGTCAGTACCTACCTACATGCTTAGAGCGTTCTCTAGCCTCATGCACCACGGCTCGAGTTGCGCCACCAACACCCATTCTGGCTCTGCCATCTTTTCCATTGGGTGTCGTCGAACCGAGAGAGATCTTTGAGATAAATGTAGGCTAACCTTTAGCTTCTGGCGTTTCAATTCGAACAGATGCTCTTCACATGGGACACGACCAACCTCTGCATCGTATTCCGCCAATGGCACATTCGCGGCACGGCTTCGCTGGTCTTCAGCTTGCTGGCCATTATTGCTATCAGCGCCGGCTACGAAGCTCTCCGCGAGGGCATCCGACGCTACGAGTCCTCGATAGCTGCCAAGCAGGACGCTGCACCTAGTGAGTACAGCCTCCATCCCCTCTACCGTTTCCCGATCCAGACCTCTTCTACATTCGTCCCCCTCCCTACTGTCTCGGATTAGCAGCAGTCGGCGCCTGTCGTATAACTATAAGAACGTGATACGACCTGCGCTGCTGCTGCATCTGATGATCCGCGCACTTATGCAAATGCAATTTCATTTTGTTGGCACGCCTTTGGGGAAATCCTGGGCTAAGATGTTGCTATCGCGAACGATCAAGTCGAATCAAATACTGAGAGCGCGACATTACTTGGGGTAGGACGAAGCAGCCAGGCCGACGCGATTGGGCGACAGGCCCATGTTTTTAAGGCGGTGCTATACGCCGTACAGAACTTTTACGCCTTTATGATTATGTGAGTGAGAATCTGCTTTAGATCCCTAATCCAGGGATTAATAATATCAATACTAATGATCCGCTATTAATAAACAGGTTACTCTTCATGACCTACAACGGCTTCGTCATGTTTTCCGTTGCTATCGGAGCTGGCCTCGGATACTATTTCTTCGGTTCGCATACGAAAGCCGTAAAGGAGACGGCCTGTCATTAAATGCGGGATAGCCTAGCACTAGCGTTACACTACTAGTATTATGCATACGGGCGGGTGGATAAATAGAAGTGCGAAGAAGCTATTTAGAGTCTAATTTAGAGCTCTATTACAACTAGAGGGTATTGATCGAGTGTGTTGGATGCGTCATAAGAATTTGCCAGCAGTTGGGAATTACAGATACAGGCGGCTTGGGCCCATTATGAATCTACAATAATGCAAGGACGGCATATCCCATCCGTCTACATCTTCGCATCCTTAACCTCGTCTTTAATAGCTTCTTGTCCTATTTCCTTTCTCTTCTTGTCGGGGAGGCGGCCCGCGTCGTTTAGAATCGCTATGATTTCTTCGTCGCCGTAGTGAGAATTATGCTCGAACTCGGGCTCTTCCTCATAAGCGATTCTCGCGGCATCGACCAACATTCGTGCCGTGAGACCCCATACTAGAAAACGCTGCACCGCATCTTCCTCCTCTTCTAGCATGTCAGCCAACACGGCTTGCCCGCCATCTCGAACCTTTGGTTTTGTAACCTTTTGGTTATTTACTGGCACATGGAAGTTATGCACCCTCCACGGCTTGTCGTGCCAGTGATGCCAGTACCCGTCATACCAATCACCGGGAGGTATCGTTTCTCCCTCATGCGGCTCGTCCTTTGCTTTCAAGAAATTGTGGAACGGCCCGCTAAAGACTGCCGCTACCTCCTTAGCATCCAGCCGGGGTATCATACTCTCGTCAACCATAGCTTGGGGTTTTCCAGGTACGTCGTCGGCATGTAGGAACGCTACACACGGACGTACAGCCATTTCGGTCTTCGCGAGACTACACGGTAGACAGCAGAGCGGTTCTATTCGAAAGGGCTTCGGGATCTTGGCGTCGTCCATAGGAAGACCGATTTCTTCCCAGGCTTCGCGACGAGCTATTTGGTCTACACGTGGGAGGGAACACATTAGTTATTGAGGGTCTTTTATACGTTTGGAGGTCATTGTCTCTACACCTACAGGGCGACTCTGATAATGCATCTGCTTTCCCACCGGGAAAAGCCGCGTGACCTATTCAAATGCCAATACGTATCAGATTCAGATTACTTCATTTCCTAGAGGGGTTCGCATGTTGCCGTACCAGAGAAGTTGCGCAAACTTGTAGCCCGCATCGTGATCACGACTCTTAGGTCACCTCTGCGGTCCGCGAATAGCAGGATCAGCACTGCGGCGCGTCGGCTTACAGGCAGATGGTCCCAGGTCGGAAACGGCGGGGGCTTATAAGCGCGCAGACGCGCAATGGCAGCCTTTAAGCGCATGAGCATGAATTGAATCATTTTTTTTGTCCCCTACGTTTCTCTCACCGCGCTACCAGAGAATGGGTGCTTAGATTGTAGCTATACTAACCGCCGAGATTTTGTTTAGCGGGGCCATCGTCGACGCATCCCAATAGTAGGAAGCTAGATCGGGAGATTCGGACGTCGGTTGTTGGTGTTGGTGTTGGTGCTGGCGGTGTAAGTCGAGCGAGAGGGCGAGATCAGCGGGTAAAGAGGTGGAAGGTCTAGTGGTGGAGTTGCGGATGCTCTGTAGGATCTCGGCCGTTTCGAGCTCCGTGAGGGGAGGCGAGTCGTCTCTCTTGGCCGTACCGGAGATGCCGTTTGTAGCGCTCATTTTGAGAAGGGGAAGATGTATAAGTCACCGTTTTCGGGATCGGCTCCTACCCTCCCAGTTTTTAATTTAGGTGCTTGCTGTCTGAAGTGGATCGCCTTGACGTAGCGTCCGCGGGGTACCCCACAGGCATCAGGCACTATCTGCACTTAAATGTATTTAACCCCTTAGAGTTAAGACCTCTCTATAACAGTACCACCAAAGCTAAGTGCTTATAAACATAATGGGATTATGCTCTTATACAGATTGACGGACTTTGGGGTTTAGAAAGGGGTAAGACGAAGACTTTCAACATCCCACGGATTTTATACCACTAGTATCTATAGTAAGCATCGCTCCTATGTAGGTAGTTGCATATAAAACTCTATACGCAAAGTCTACCAAACCTATCTTATTAATGTAGTTGTCAATAGTATAGCTAGACAAGTAACATCTAAATCTACCTAATTTACTTGAATCCTATAAATACAGTAGCTTTTGAAATGAGCCATACTAATGAGTTTGTTTCTAAAATATATCCAATAATAATCCAACTCACAATATATTCCCCTCATGGACTTAGTTTCCAAGTCCACCTATCTCCGGTCGGTTCTTTAAATCCGTATAAGGAGAGTGTATATTACTGAAATTAGCCGTAAGAGGTGTGTATAAGAGGTTCACATCACTCTGGTCAACATAGTCAATAATCTAAACCCAGCTTCTTCCAGCAAGTTATTTCTGTTGATAAAGTTAGAACAGGCAACGAAATGGCTTCGCTAGACAAGAGTATAGTTCTTATAACAGCTATGCTCATCGCCTATAGTTAAATTACCATAGCCTTCACCCCCCCTATACGATATCATTCAGCCAACGAACTAAGCTTATATACACAGGTGGTAACCAGGGTGTGGGTTACGAGATAGCAAAAAATTTGGTCCTTCCATCCCAGGACTATCATGTTATCCTAGGGAGCCGAGATATTTCGAAAGGAGAGGATGCTGCATAAGAGATATAGGATATCGAGGGAGTTAAAGACATTGTGTTTTCGACTCAAATTGACGTAACTGACGATTAATTAGTTGACGCCGCAGCTGGACGTGTCACTGCCGAATATAGGAAACTTAACGTGTTCGTTAATAACGCTGGGATCGTCTCAATGATTAGTCCTCCCATACGCGAGGTCTTTTGACAAGTCTTAGAAATAAACGCCGTTGGCGCCCTGAGCGTAACAGAAGCCTTCTTAGATCTACTTCGTAAGTCCATTCATAAACCGCCTCGTCTTATCTTTGTCAGTTCGAGTACGGGCTCCATCACACATGCCTCGGACCCGACCTCGCCTTATTACAATATAGGGGCAGTAGAATATCGCACAAGTAAAGCAGCATTAAATATGCTGATGGTTATGTACTATGCTTGACTGAAGCTAGAGGGCTTTCTAGTGTTTGGGGCTGATCCGGGACTATACGCTACTAACTTCACTGGTAATCCCGCTTCACTTCGAGAAAGGAATACCTCCAAACCTTGGCAAGGGGGGGAACGCGTTGCTACCGTGGTCAAAGGAGAGAAGGACAGTGACGTCGGGAAAGTATTAGGTGTATACGGTGTCTCGCCATTCTAATTAGACATTCATGTTTAGGTACTAGGTACTGTATAATCCCATAATTGATTATGGCACAAATAGGGGGCAAATTAAGACTAATTTCTTGGCGTAGAACGGGCTACCCCTGAGTGTGTCTGCTATATCCCAATTCATTGCCTTTACTTCAAGGCAACAAAATAATCTTACTGTACATTTGATATATACATGATCTATCCTGTACCATCCGGTCTTTGGCGCAATAGATAGCTTGGTGCGTCGACTGTTACGCTTCACTTCGTATCCTCAGATTCTTTTAACTTAGCCTAGGAAACACGGGTTAGTAACTAATGCTCTACAATAGTAAAGTAATACTACAATATTTACCATGCTTTCGTCTAATGCGATATAGAAGAAGGTCTTTAAACTTTTATTCTTTACAGCTGTGCCGGGCGGAAGTTGGAAAGTAGTATCGACGCCAGAGAAAAGCTGAGTCCTCTGGCTCTTGGTTAAATCCTTGAATGAAGTCCAAGAACCATCCTTGAACATCTCTTGGGCTTGACGCTTTAGTTCCTTCTTCATTTGGCCTCCTGACGGCGCCTTGGCTGTGGGCGTACTAGTATTCGCAGCCGGCTCCGCTGTTATAGACGGTGTCTTGAGGGCATCGTTAGGCATGCTTTCGTTTGGGTTATTCGGCTTCGCACTTGAACCTAGGATCTCGACAGCTTTCGCGGAGCCATTCTTATCGTTTTGCAATTTCGGAATGGCATCGCCCATCAATACATTGTCGATTTTAGTGCGTTCAAGTGCTTCGACTAGAGCATCGGTAGCCATAATGCTTTTGCCACCGTCTACAGTCAAGCGCTTACGAATTTTGATCTTGACATGGCCATTTCCAAGGGGCTTCACTTGCTTGCGCTTGTTGGTGCTCTTATCGACATCTATCTGCGCTGTTGGACAGAAGAGTAACGCTTCTCCCGTTTGCAAGGCAATAATTGCATCGAAAAGTACGCTTGCATCGCCCGGTTTTTGTTCCTTCGCACCGGCAAGGTGCTTTTTGAGCGTTTCGTACCAACTCGGCGAGAGAAATCGGTGGACAAAGGTTACATTCGATAAATCTATTAGCTCTGGAGAGAGCGTGGGTTCCTGGGTTGCTACTAGCACTCGTGTGCCGGTATGTCTCTGTTGTCGGATTATAGAAAGTAAGTCACCAGTGAGAATCTTCGCCTCGCCAGCCTGACTGAGGAACTACTTCTAGTTAGCTTCCATAATTCACGAGCATGGGGCAGAGTTTACCTTGTGTGCTTCGTCTAGCGCCACGATACGTCCGCATTTGTTTCTCTCTTCGAGGAAGATCGAGAGACAAATGGTAAACAGCGAGCACGCGTCGTCAGAACTAAGGAAAGGATCGCTGAGATCAACGATGGTTAATGAACCTGGTTCGAACGCCCAGATATCCTCCTGAGCACGGGCTGGCCTCTTGGTGGTCGTTGTTGATGATGGAGCTATAAAGGTGTCGAGAAGTTGTAGGCGCAGTTTTAAGGGTGCCTCTTGACCTTTGACCCATTTGATCTTCGAAAGGCGCTCACAGAATCTCGAGTAGGTAAAGACACCTGGACCCTCCATTGCCATTTCTCGGGCTAAGTTCATCACCACCTCCATGTAGAGAGGCGTGTCTTTTGCTGCTGGGTCTATGGCCATCAGCTTGAGCATTCTTGAGATATCAAGTTGATCCTCGTTTAGATAAAGAGGTAGAACCTTAACATTTACCCCAGGTAGGTTGCTATACAGGTTTCGCATAGCCCAAATGTTAGAAGGAGATACTAGTATTGTCACAGGTATTCCCGAAGAGCATAGGTATGCTGCCTCGCACACCTGTGTTGACGAATAGCTAGTATATTTATCATAATGCATGACCATCCCAGCTAAGGGGTAAGGAAGGTGACCAGCGGCATTATTTGAAATAAGCGCATTCTCCAACAGACAGGATAATGTGTGACTCTTTCCTGCGCCCTGAGATCCGCATATGAAGGCCGACCATGGAACATTCATATTTGCCAAAACGAGGCGATCCTCTGCCGAGACATTTACGTCTGCAGAATCTTGTCGAATACCAATTAGGCCATATTGAGGAACAAGCTCCGAGGCTGGATTATTGGATAAGGAGGAGAAGGCGGTGTAGATTGAGGCAGAGGATGTATCACTCGAAGCAGAAGCAGCTAAGTATGATGATGAGACTTGGAAGGTTGAGTGAACAAATTTTTCCACGGCTGTGGTGAAAATCGGAGTGTTTGCAAACGCTTCTTCTTGCTGCTTATTGCTCCAGTGGTGATTTTCGTCATCATCATCGCCTTCTTGGATAAAGTGTAATAAGTGTGAAAATTTGGATGTTTGGCTAGCCTTACGACTTTCTCGGTTTTTGGGCATGACGAAGAGTAGTAGTTTGAAGAGAACTAATACAGAGACTAGAAGGTGCTGTTATTGAAGGATCTTAGCAACGGTTTGTTACCTTAGGTTGGGTAAGTGAGCTAAGAGGTACTACATCTGTATCTTGACATTGGGCACCTTGGGTGCCTATTTATATCGCCGATGCTACCCCCGATGCATATGCGGCTATCCGAGACCAGGCATTGCCCAGTATCCGGGTGCCTTGGGTTTCCGAAATCTTCTCTCAGCCTCACCTCATTATAAATTTATAATGTCTCAGATAGAGAATAAGCATATTCATATGTCTTTACTGTAGCATCGTGAGAAAGAGATACTACTTTATGTATAAAGTAGAAGCTTCCAATTGCTTCGAGTGTATATTTTCGTTGCATGGATGTCGGGTGTTAAGAAAGGTGCATTGTAAAGTATAGTAACCTTTATAACAATGCTATTTGTCTATCCATACCTTTCACACAGGTTCCCTAGGTAGTCTTGCATAAAGCCATAGTCTCGCTGTATAGTTATATTTCATATGTAAATATTTACAAGCTTATAAGAGTGCTCATCATCCTCATCATGCTACGTATCACAGCTCCCCCCGCCCCAAAGCCACCACTGGGGCTGTGTTCAATGGCTTAACAGCATCATGAGTCTCACAAGCAATAAGTACCCTTACGGAGTCGGATAATACTCGAAGGCCGAATTAAGGACAGCTCGCTTGCCGTAACGGCCATAGGCCTCCCAGAGCTTGTCGTGGAAGTAGGAGAACAGCTTGCGTGGCTTGGAGTTGCTTTACGGCCTTCGCCACGGGATAACGGAGTTGTTCTCTGCGCTCCATATTGGCATCGCATAACCGCCCCAGTCGGTGAAACACTATGGACAGAATTCACTATCAAATACAACGTCGAAGTATGTGGAACAGAAAATCAGTATGCTAATGGACAATGTTGGCATAACTTGTTCGCCAATCCTGTTATTGCCCGAGACTTTCCCATCCCCCGGAGACGTAAGGAATCAACAGGGCTCGAAATATCTCTCGACATGTTAGTTGCCTTAGGAAGAACGCGGTATATCGATACATTCAAAGAGAGAACTTTCATCAAGGGGTATTCCACCATGTTAATCCCGGTAGAGCAATCGGGCGACTTACTCATCTGGCACTTACTCTACAACAAAAGCCCCAATCAGCGAATATCATATCTTGACTGTACTGTTGAGCACGCAGATATTAAATTGACAAGCCTTGGACAATTCCGCCATATATTGGGCTGGTGTTCTCAAGCAGTCTCCGTTGTCGGTAAGTTCGTTTATACCCTAGCACAGACGATATTGGACAATTACTGATCATACTAGGAACAACCCTAGCGACATACAATGTGAATAAATCAAGGCTACCTAATGTACACTCTACTTATACCCTAGAAAAAGCCGAAATCTCAGGAGGGCAGTTCGTTACTGGCACGGCAGTGTTCGCTTTCGGTAATACCCAGAAGCCGGTTCATATTTCCAGGTATGGTTATCTTACGAAACTGCAATGGATATCGTCCAAGTATTTCGTATTTTGGGACGAGAAAGAAAAAAGGGGCTGGCTAGTGAACGGAGCCAGTGCTCTACTCCATATACTTAGGGCTTCCTTAGAGCACAGCAAGCGCAGGTTTCGCTCGGCCTGGCTCTTGGACCCGACTATATTAGGTGATGCTACTGATCCATCGGGATATGATTCTGCTCTCGAAGTCTTGATAAACGAGGATAATCGCGATCTCAAACTCTACGTTGACAAGACGGAGCTTTATGAGGAAGCCTATGAAGGGCAAATAAGCAGCGCACGATTAAGAAAACAGACACGTTACTATCGACTAGAAGATCGAATCGAACATGTATACAACATACTGGAAAAGCTGATCGATTACCAAACCGACTCGGAGCGACAAGCGGGATTGCAAGTAAAAGTTCGGCCGCGTCGACGGCTGGAAGGTTGGGATTTCAGGGACTTAATCGCAGACGGAGATCCGTTCTTCGCCCGTGTTGCTACCCTTCAAACCATCGGTAAGGGATGGATTGATTTCACCAGAGCCATACATGCAGTGACCTTGTTCGGGCGTGGCTTCGGTGAGCTTATCCGACCACGATCTACAACGGCTATTCCCTGTCCCCGCTGGTCTTTACTACCTACCAGAAAGTATTACCTTGCCGCCTCCATGTTCGATCTGCAGAACATCATGGACGACGACGGTGACCTGACTTCCAATCCAAGACGACTATGCCATAATATCATCTGGCACATGAAGCAAGCAACGTTTGACCCCTACCCTTGCACCAGGGGCTTAGCACACAAGCATCACGCCCCAGTCCAAGCTTTGTTCCCTCTGACATTTACCAAGAATCTCAAACAAAAGCCTCAAGTCGAGTTGCAAAGTCGAGGGGCAGTCATTTTCGGCCATAATATGAACATCCATTGGCATTGGCAAGACGACGGCGATCCCGTGAAAGGTGATCCGCCGCCCAACCCAGAAGCCGAGGAGGCAGTATACGATAGCGGGCTTGGATCGAGTCTTAGTTCTTCTAGTAACCGTTCGCCCTCTGATCTAAGTGACACTACTCTTACTGCAAGCGATACGATATCCCCTAGTGCACCACCATCTTCTTCCAAAGGTCCTCGGGAAGCAATGCTAAAGACCTCGAAACGGAAACGCCCGTTGAGGAGTATGATTTCGTCGATCAGTAAGAGAGCGAAGTTCTAGTATTCTATCAATATTATTTTAATTCGCAGTCAGTCTCAGTCTCGGTGTTTTGTCTTGCCCCGGTGAATGTTTCTGTACTAGGAAAATCTTGTTAAATATGAAGATGGCGACTTATTTAGACTCCATTGTCACCGAAATATTCTTAATTAGATCAGTAGTTTAGTCTCATGTACCGCCACAATATCGATTCCATCAACCCGTTCTAAAGGCTTTTCCACCAAGACGAACAGCCCATACTTTCCATCGCATCCCGAACTAGACTTAGAAGTAGATTCCCCGGGTGTTTATTTAGGCTCCATTCGTAAGATACGAGAAAATACTCGACGAACTTTGCGGAAGGGTTTCGGTATGACGAAAAATGCGTCAAAACGTAAGCCTTAAATTTTACAAGGTTATGATTTTTAATCAAGTTTGTTTTTTCAAATTTATCTTAATTTATTTACTAGAATATTGGGCTGCAAGGAGGAGTGCCGTGGCTTATCAACAGACGGCAGTGAGGCAGTGCCCCCTAAATGTACAAGCGAGGCATCGTCAAGTAATATGTATTAGCGATATGGCAGACAACTGCGGGCGCCAATTATGAGGTGCAATAACGCCCGCGAATAAGCTGCGAGATGGCTTATATAAAGTCGCTACCTTTTAACTATCCGTAACTTCATAAGCCTTTTTAAATCACTAGAAATAGTGCTATCTTCGATATCCCACAAGGACCTCCGTAGTATATATCCAGCCCCCCTTTACTCCGACATATCACGACCTCGGCTCACCAATCCGAATCTGCCTCTTCATCTCCTCCCTCCTCTTCTCCTTCCTCGCCTCCTCCGAACCAACCCCCAAACCCAACCCAAACCCCCGACCTATCGTCAGCGACTTCGCCCTGGACAAGATACTCTTCACCGTCGGGCCCGACGAAGTCTTCTCCTTCCCCCGCGTCTCACCACCGCTCTGCCTCAACGACTTCGCGAACACGAACGCGGGCAGAGTAGATACCCGGTTCCGTTTCCTCGCGATGCTGTTCTGCTCCTCTTTGGCTTTCTGCTCCGCTGGATTCTGCTTCTGGCGCGTAGAGCCCGAGCTGTCTTGTCGCTGCACGGGCTCTACGCCTGGGAACGGCGTCTTAACGTAGCTGTCCGCTAGCGGGCGCTCGCTTAGTTTCAGGGGTGGCGGTGCGTGGGTCGTTTTCTTACTGTTAGCCCGCGACCGTGTCGAGAATCCGTTTACGGTACCGGCGAACGCGACTTTAGGGTTAACTATTGTCCCGGTGGGAGTTTGCGACTGGCTGCTAAAGTTATTCGCCAAGTCGGCCGGTGATAGTGGCTTAGTATTGATGGTCGGTCCCTGGTTTTCATCATCGAGGTGGCGCGAGAGCCTAAGGTTGGGATCAGAAGGGAATGAGGTTGGAGGATGTATCACAGTGCCACTTATAGGGCTCCCCGGGTCACTATACCGGAGGTTGATTTGCTGGTATTGGAACTGGTGTTTTTGGTTCAAAGTATCCATCTCCAGCGTAGGACGTAGATCCGCCGATTGATATACAATAGGGTGCTTCTCATATAGGAATGGCTGTCGACTAATATATATCTCCTCTCCTGACGAGGAGTTATGACTCGCACTTGAAGAAACTCCTGAATGTAGGCTACATGTAGACTCGTTAGGCGAGATCGGCGAGACCTCGTACTGCTGGAGGTTCTTATTCCCAGCTAAAGGCCCTGAGACAGGGCTGATGACGATATCATCGGCATCGCTCGTCTCCAGAATCATATGGGCTGGATATCTTGGTTGTGGCGCTAATATCTCGGGTTCTTTCTCTGAACATGATGAGGAGGACGCCATCAGCTGAAGCGGCTGTACCACGGTCAGCCCGGCTTCATCGAGGGCACCTGAATTGACATCTGGACCATCCCGTTGATGATGATTATTTAGAATGCATTGCTGTTGAGCACTCTCGACTGGGAAAGAATAGATAGACGAGGAACCAGGATTCGGCCGCGGAGGAAGGGCTTTTTTCACATATTCTGGTATGTCTGCCGGCGGCGGATACTGCTGCTGTTTTCCAGTCTTCCAGTCCATTTCCCCCTGATCATCATCACTGTCTTGACTGTTTGTATTATCGCCTGAGGCCATCTCACAACATATGTAACTATACTTTTTTCGAGCGACCCGAAAGCAGCAGAGGAACTTCTTCACAGCCAGGCATCCCATATTTTGCTGCTATAGCTGAACAAAGGATCCCGAGTTGGAGTCTTGAGGCATGTGTCCGGATCAGTTCGGTGACGCGAATACCGGCTGCTTTGTCCGTTGGGGCAGAACAAAGGTAGATTACTCGAGGGCTACGTTCAATGCCTATAAAACGTGGCAATTTTACTCGTATTAGATGATGTAATGACAATAGGAGAGAAATGAGTATACATATCCCAACTAAATAGGCCATACAAATTTCGGTGGCGAACGTACCTTGCTACCATAGTTGAAGACTAGCTTCCAAGAATAATCTCGATCAATTGTCGTAGCGCTCAAGTCGAGCAGCATACATTATTATATATCCGGTACCCATGTGGTTGACCCCTAATGTGATGCAAACTGTAAGAAATCCCCTCGCCATTTTCATGAATGAACCATCGCCCATAGACTCCAGATCCATACACCTTCAAAACATGAACACCCCCTTAAGTGTCATATAGAGAACCAGCCATCGGACTAGCTATGCATATAGAAACTAACAAGGCTGAGACTGTAGACGCTCCTGCAATGTACCACCCTCAGACTGGATGTTTAATAGATCCGCTAGGCAAATTCAGCAATACTTCGCCCAGGGTCGCATTACCCCGAATTCCATCATATACAATTATTTCCCATTACCCTTTGCCTTACCCTTCCCTTTCGCCTTGTTGCCCTTCGCGGCGGCAGCTTCAGGTTTCGAATAAAAACTCCTCGTGTCGTTACCGAATAATTCCTGGTCGCCTTTGCCACCCATTTCCATAAATTCTTTCGTACCTCGCTGGTCTGCAGGCCGAGTTTCTTTCGGAGGTGCATCGTTTTGCTCAGCATCAGGATTCTTCACAAAGACCTTTACAGGACCCTTCTTAGCATCGGGGCTTGGGGAGACCTTATTAGTGACTTGCACTGAGTTGATGGAACTAAGTAACGTCCGCTCTCGGACCGCGCCTCTCCGATGCATTTCAAGGCCCCCAATCCCGGCCACGAGCCCATCGGTACTATCGTTAACACCTAATGTCTTCTGCGTTATCCACGGGTGCGTAAGGCACTGGTCAACTGTAAAACGCTTCTCAGGTTCAACAACCAGCATGTGATCGATGAGGTCCACTGACATTTACAATTAGTTATAAGACTCAACGAGCAAGATACCATAAACTGAAAATAATAAGGACTTACACGCCGGGTCTCCCACTGAATCCCAGTATGGAGAAGGATAGTCAAATCGCCCGCTCTTGATCTGCTGCGAAAGCGTATACGGGAAATCGCGGCTGTAGAGTTCGTCCGAGAAGGGAGGGAAACCACACAGACATATATACAGCACGACTCCAAGCGACCAAATGTCGACAGCCTTGGTGTATTTCCTATGCCTTCCTTCTGCCAATATTTCTGGCGCAACGTAACTTGGTGTACCACATAGAGTAGTCGTAAAGGACTCCTCACCGATGATCTTGGCCAGACCAAAATCGGCAAGTTTAACGTGGAGATCCTTATCGACTAGTAAGATATTCTCTGGCTTCACATCTCGATGGACAATATTCCTATCATGCTATTTCAGTTGTTAGCCATGCCAAGAGGAAAGACGAAAGAGGAAACGGGAGCTATACCAAGTACTTGATACCCTGGAACAACTGAATGAACAGTTTTCTCGTTTCGGGCTCGCTTAACTTCTGCTTCATTACGATATGATTAAACAGTTCCCCTTCGGGCGCAAGCTCGAGCACCAGATACACAGCGTTCTTCTCGTTGAAAGTATCTTTCAGACATAGGACGTTAGGATGGCTTACTCCCATCAATACTGCAATTTCCTGCTGTAGGCCATCTGTCTTCGATCTCTCATCCATACCAGGGTTTTTTGTGAAGACCTTTACAGCGTATCTTTGGCCAGTAGATTTCTCTACACAGAGATATACTTCGGCAAAATGGCCCTTACCCAAGCGGTCGAGGAGCGTGTATTGCTGTAAAAAGGCACTGGAAGCCCGAGTTCGTGGATAGCGAAATATGAATCGGGCCTTGTCCATCACCGCAATCTCATCCTGCTCCTGTAGCTCACGGCGCTGATTTCTTCCGACGATGGCCTCGTTCACAAAAGTTCCATTACTCGACATGTCCTCGAGAATAGCAACTGTGTCATCACCCTTGTTCTCGGTGAATATTAAGCAGTGACGGTTGGAAACAATTGGATCGTCCACAATGATATCTAGCGGAAGTCAGCCCATATTCAGGTCATAGTAGAACTTAGGACGCCAAAAGGGGAAGAATGGTCTCACCACACTCAGGATGTCGCCCAATCAGATATCCACCAGACGGCACACCCTTGACCTTAGACTTCTCGAAACTTTCTTCCTGTTTTATGGCGCTGGCGTCGGTTGCATCAGACCGTTCCTTTGCCAGTATACCCGAAACATCATTGGGCAGTTGACAGCTGGACCGTTTTTTCAAGACGACACATCTGCCCCCGTGTTTGGGGTCTAGCGGGAAGAGGTATCCCCATACGCCTTCTTTCTCCTCATCCTCGACCTCGTCAGAGAGAGTGGCGTTTCCTTCAACATATTGGGAATTCGGAAAAGCTTGTGTATCTTGCGGAGGAGACGATAGTCTTTGAATTTGGGAGAAGGTTTCTTCGGGAGTACGGTGCGTGACCTGACTAGGCCGTCCATCCGGGGGCTCGGCTGTTGATTCCTTATACAAATCTTCACTATCACCTTGATGGGTGACAGGTGAGGGTAGCTTTTGCTTGTTGGCAATGACCGGCGTTTTTAGCTGCTCGGCATTGTCTGTCTTCTGCGACAATCGGCCGGATCGACGAGGTTTCTTTGAAATATCATTGTCGGCCTTAGAAGGAGGAGACTCCTATAAGATACTATTAGCCGAAAGGAAACGCGAACAAATCAAGGGTAGATTGAAGTACCCTTCCTCGTTTCAACTGACTCTTCTCGCGTGGAGCCATGGTTGGCTGCCTTGAGCGAGGATGTACTAAAATTCGATTGCGACCAGTCAACAGAGAAGAAGAAAAAAAAGATGGGAACAACAAGTTACGTCTAGCTCTATAATATAACAGGGGGCTGTAGAATGCTGCCTTGGAATCCCAGCGAAAGAAACGAGCCTAGATGAGTTGATGTAAAAATTTGGTATGCCGGGTTGGTGAAGATGAAAAAGCTTATTGGTATAAAAGAGTCCCCAACTCGCAAGACTCCGAGTAGATTGACATTACAATGGATACAATGGGTACAGATGGGTACGATGGGTACGATGGGGTACCTCATAATAAGGGACGGTCCAATGCGAACACGGGACTAGCGGCTGAGCACCAACAGAACAGCCAGGGAAAGTCCAGGGGAGAACTCGCGAACGCTATTACCCTTGCATAGTTGTATACCCTTGTACGGAATATTTCACCGAATTGGTTGAGTCATAACGAGAATGCGAAAAGAAAAAGTATAAAAACTCAAAATGCTAGGTTAGTCATATGACATTAGTTATCCGTGATTTCCTGTAGAAAATCCAAGAGAAATCATAAAAGACAGAAACTACCTATGAGATTAAACAGCTGATAGTGGGCAAGGTCATCCCCAGGTTCCTTACTTAAACTCAATGGGCGCCTGCTGCTACTGCTGCTATTATCGGTAAGTGGGGAAGCTCCCCCGTTCTGCCCAAGCTTGCTATAGCCTATAGGGCTGTGCAACATGTATTCCGTACCTACCCTTTCAACGCACTTTGTGCCGGCCCCACCTCTTCCACCTCTTGAGTCTTGCGCTCTCAAATTTCGTCATTCAAGATTTCCGCCCTTTCTTGTACGACTACATACGTTGAACCTTATTATCGGATGTCTTACCTACATAATTGACATGTACCTAACCTACGAGATCAGACGTCTCTGCATCTAGGTACCGTCTCACAAAGTACTTGTGTAAGTGTATACCTAAAGTTCCAAATAGCTGCATGTGAGATGATCATTATGAACAAAGGGTGCTTACTCGACTTTCTATGCAATTCCAATACATACAGCTTATACTTTTTCTAGACAGAAAGTAGCAACTTTGCTTCATGTGAGGCTTAGTATTGGTCACGCGTGGTCTTACTCTCGGCATTTCGACACGCCTTAGCTTCAGGTGATTATTTATAAAAGCCACCTGCAGCGCCTCACATGCCTTACGCTATCCACGAGATTCCCTAACCCTATAAGTAGAGCAGTGACCAATTTTCTAAAAATTTCCAAGTTTCGACACTAGGTGCTAAAAGTAAGGTATTCTACCATAGCATAACTTACCTAGGTTATACCTTATAATACGTATATATCATGTAGTTATTACAAGTCATAATTGGCTCCTAGCAGCAGCATTTCGATATTAGATAGGAGAAAAAGATAGAAGACAAAATCATGCACTTTGATAGTCTTCCCACTAGCTTAAAATCATATCTAGGAGGTAATTGCTACCTTCGTTGTACACGATTAAAATTATGGATGCACCAGTACACATCTTCATCCTTATGAATGGGCTCCCTCTCCATCCAATGGTTCAAAGCTATGTCCTGGTATCATGACTAGGAATGCCGACCCGATATCCTTAACTACTGCTATGGAAATAATGTCAGCAGTCTGCCAAGGGCCTTTGAACTAATTTGGTATTCTCCTCAGAATGCTCCATAACGCCGTGAACAAAGAGATCCGCACTCTTTTTGACCTGAAATTTCATATATTCTTTACCAATGCCAATGCATTTAATGCCACCCCGGCCATCGTCATATAGGGTCATTTTCGTCAGTTCGTGAAGCAACCGTCGTCATCGAATCAATCGCATGACGAGACGGGGGAGGCGTCACAATCCTCAAAGGAGGACAGAAGATCAGCGGGCAGAAAGGTAGGGGGGTCTTAGAGAGGTCCAAACGAGGTATCTGGAAGAAGGAGC